TTCTAATAGCTTTTTTTTCCTGCTTTTACTCCACAACTTTTTATTTGTTTGTTTGCTTAAGAGGTTCTAGCTTTAGAAAGGCAGTGGAGTAAAGCAAAGACTTCAGTCAGAGTTTTGTAGTTTTAGTAGCCTGTGCCTTAATTTTACAGTATTTTCTGACCTAACTGGAGCTTGCATTCTGTTTTTCTTGGATGAAGTAAGAGGGATTGCCATGTTCATTCAACCCTTGGCTTTCTTCAAATATTTACGTAAATAATTTTCAACTGACTTTGGCTTTTATTTTAATTAATAAGTTAATTGGAATATCAAAAAGCCACCATTTCCTTTTCATAAGCAACAGACATAGCTTTTAACCATAATATTCTTAAAAAAAAGAATGCCTGTTAAATATGTTGGTTTTGCAAATTAAATTAGACAAAGGGCCTCAATTCTTTCCCATGGTAACTTCTGAGGGTTGGAAAATGTCATTTCATATTGAAATACTTAAATTTAACAGACCTGTTTCAGCCCATCTGTCTGTCAGAGGTTTCTGACCCAAGTCTTCCTCTCTCTCAATTCAAAATGTCTGGAGCATCCCAACTTCAGAAACCTTCCACTTAAAGAAATCAGAATTAATGTATCTCTTGGAGACTGACATTTAGTCTTATCAAGTTTTAAGCAGTTCAGTTTTCTTTAATGGCTACAGTGCCAAATATGCATCAATATGGGGCATTTACCAAAATGATTCCTGCTTTTCTTCATCTGTGTCTGCATTCCTACAGCTGCGTGTAGAGCTTTGTCTCCTTGTCCACGGATGGTCTGTGTCTTCCTCTCTCAACAAATTTTCAGCAGTGGCTTGTGCACAAGGGCTGACACGGGGATGGTTATGCAGGTGTAAGACCTTCAGTTATGTACATTCTCATAGTTGAATTGAGAAAAGGAGGAATTTGCTGAAGTAACCAGGCTCCTGTTGCCCCTGCAGTTTGTAACCCAGCCCCTGACCTACCGGGCTGCTTGTTTAAAAGCTTTATCTGAACTGAATTTGTGCCAAGGTAACGTCACACAACAGTATTCGAACTTTGGGAATGCTGCTGTGTTGCTGACTTCAACCCAAACATGCTTTATTTTAGGTGATGCCAACACTGAGGACCATGTGGCAACTGGGCCATCAGGTCATAGTCTCGTACGAAGAGGACATGGAACTGAAGGAGCACTGTGAGCTGTGGCCTACGATCCCATACTGGTGGGGAAATAAAACATCCACTCGTGCTCTTATCCGATATTTAGAGCACATGAAGCGGAGGGGCCGTCCAGGTAGGCACAGGGAGTTGCTTGGAAGAAAGAAGGGGCGCTTACAGAGTGTAAAACAAACAGGAAACTGGGTGATTGTAACCTTATGAGGTATAACCCCTTTGTGCATGCTGTGTGCCCGTGGTTGCTGAGTGCTCTGCCCACCAATGGGCGAGCGCAGTGTTCATCTGTGGTGGTGTGTCAGTGTATGTACATGCATAGACTATATAAATTGTGGCAGCCACATCCCTTATGTGATCCCACAGAGAGGAGGCCCTCAGCACACACCGGCTCACTGGCCCTGTTGTACCCACTTCACGGGTAGGACGCAGCTTCCTCAAGTCCAGAGCTTGCTGCTTTAGGCAGCACAGATGATGAGAGAAATGCATTCTGCTAGCCTTGTGAAAAGAAACTCCTATGAGGTTTCTCTGAGGGGAGACCTTATCGCTCTCTATGACTACCTGAAAGGAGGTTGTAGCAAGCCGGGGTTCAGCCTCTTCTCCCTGGCAACAAGTGACAGGACAGAAGGAAATGGCCTCAGGCCTGTGCCAGGACAGGTTCAGGTTGGATATTTGGAAGAATTTCTTCACTGAAAGGGTGGTTAAACATTGGAATGGGTTGCCCACAGCGATAGTGGAATCACCACCCCGTAAGTGTTCAAGAAACAACTGGATGTGCCACTTAGTGCTGTGATTTAGTTGTCGTGGTTTGATGTTTGGTCAAAGGTTAGACTCTATCTTGGAGGTCTTTTCCAACCTTATGATTCTATGGATACAAGAACAGTACGTGGAGAGTGTAGTTGCACCAGCAAATAGCAGCACTTAAGCATGCTTTTGTAGTATAATCTGAGAGAAATTCAGCTCATAACATCTGATGTAGCTTTTGATGGGAACGCACAGGGTGATAAAGGGGAGAGGTGCTTCGAAAGTGCTTCCCAGCCAAAGGAAAATGCTCATGTGGTGCACCCTTTGTTTCCATCCATCATGGGGGAAGGCTAAGCATTTGGAAGCAACCCTCACAGAAACAAACATAATTTACAAAGGAAAAGTAGTTAGACAAATTTAGCTAAACTGGAATGCTTAGATAACCAAGTGTGGCTCAGGAACTGTTTACTACAGCATGAAGTTGCAACAAGGGGAGACAGTCTACTGAATCAGTTGTAGGAATATGAAACAATACAGAAAGAGTGTGAAGTTTAAGTATTTTAATGCTTCCCACTGGAACAAGATCTGAAGCTAATGCAATACCGAGCAGTTTCTGTTCTCCTTAAAAGAATATTTAATGTGTCACTTTCTGATTTTTGTTTCAGGAAAATTCTTTGTAGCAGGGATTAACCTTACCGAAAACCTAGGGTATATTCTCCTACACCCATTTGGATCGTTGAAGAAAATGACACTCCAGAGTCTTCCATGCTTGAAAATCTGGATAAAGCAGCAGTATCCAGGACCAAAAAAAGAATGTATTAACATAATTGCTGGAGACTTTATAGGAAACAATGATTTTGTCAAAGATGTGATAGAACTTAACACAAAAATTAATCCTCCATTAGACTGTCAAAGTAGAGGAGCTGGAACAAATAACATTTCATTCTTTGCTTCTTAGTCTGTGAAAAGCTGAAAAGGCTTTGTCTGCATTTAATGTGCTCTTCTGTAAACATCCTGAATCCCATAAAGGTCTTTTTAACTTAAACCAGGGATGCTTTAAAGGCTCAGTAAGAAAAGGTCTCTCAACATCATCTGAGTTTCAAGACCTTTGGACCTTGCTGAAGTCTCCAGAAAATTATGGTATAGGTGTAATTTATTTGGAGATGTTTTGATTCTGTAGCAGCAGGCAATATTGAAAGTCCCAACAACTTAATCTTATTTTACATAGGACCAAGAAGGAGAAATATGCCAGTAGCGGCATGAATTATTTAGTGATTTCATCTTTCTTATAAGGATATTCTGCATTACTTGCATCCCCAATTCTTACTCTTTTATATCAGTGTGAAACTGACTTCTCTGTTTTCATAGTTTAAAAGGAAGTTTAAAAATATTTTTGATATATCTAAGGTACTGTATTGACAATCCAATTTGACATGATTTTATGTATACACCAATGTGTTGAGTATCAGTTGTGAACTGCCTTACCAACAGAGTAGTCACAAAACTATTTATGATTTGTAAACAGTATGTGTATTCGCACACTTACTCATGCCAGTTCTGAAGTGATAAAGACACCAAAACTAGGCCCCTAATCAGTTTTGTCTGTGTCAAATATTTTATTAGGTGTTGCCAAAGTATGTCTTACACTGAAAATAAACAGAGGAAACAAATTCCTTACCTAAACTCAAACTGCTCTAGAAATACAGGTTCTTCACTTCTGTCATGCTCATTTGGGGTTTCACATCTGGCCTTTGATTTAGCTATTTTAGTAGCTCTATAATTACTTTTCCCCTCACTAAGTAATTTTTGCTTATGTGAAAACTAAGGGGTTTATGCTGTTTGCTATTGCATATTAATTCTATTTTTCTAAATGAACTGTGCAATAACAGATGATCACAAAGGCAAGAGAAATAGCAAGCATCAGAACTAAAACAAAAACAGTTGTGTAAAATTGACTATGCAGCTTCACCTATATACCTCACTTTTTAGATGCACTTTATACGCAAAAGCTAAGTTCAGATGTTTGACAAGATGCTAATGTTTGCAGAAGTCTTAAATCAATTGCTACTTACCATTGTATCAAATTCTCTCTAAACTGCTCAGCATGAAAGGGTAAGATGCAACCTCTTCATGGAATCTCTTGCAATTGCAGAATACACAGGAGTAAAAATTAAACATTACGTTTATGAGGAAGACTTCCTTTTTTACAGTGCTTTGCATCCTGTTCTTACTCTATGTACTTCATAACGAGTAGTCATTCAGTTTTTGTTATGTTACAGGTACTCAGAAGAACTCAGAATGTTCTTCTGCCTATCTTTTGTACCCTTGTTACTCTAATAAAACTTGATCTCTCTGTGTAATATGGACTGAAATAGCTTTGTTTCTCCTTTCCTGATATTGACTGTTTTATTGGTTCCCAGTAGTAATTCATAACTCAAGTAATAAATCAGTTGTGATTGGTTTCTTTTCTTTTGTTTTCCTTTGTGGAAAGGTTTGCTGTACCCTAAATGTCTTCTCCAAGACTGACACAGTAATAGGTATTTTGGATAAATTACTGTAAGCAAGAAAACTGCATGGGTAAAAGATGTTCACAGCTAACTTTATTCAATACTTTAATATACAAATCTATGGAGTTTTTTCTTCACTGCAGTATGACATGGCAGTTATTTTGTTTATGTTCATGCATTCTGCTTGAATACATACTTATTTATATACAACAACATTTTGTTCACTTACTTTCATTTTCCAAAGATCATCTGAAACAACTATAATAAATATTTTATTTCGAAAAAGGGGATAAAAAGCTTTACTTATATGATATAAGGAACTTGGTACTTTTCTGAAGGTTAAGTCAGATGCCATTCCATGTGTTTGAGGTCCACAGCTTATAGCCAGCAACAGTTTTAACATTAAAAATTTAGTGTTGTCCTTGCACTTGCTGATAAAATTAAGCTCAAAGGTCTCATTGTTTCCAAACAGAAGTTTTCTGAAACAGTGTCCATTTCTAAAATGTGTCAAAAACATCAATAGGGGAAGAAAAATAAACTTCTCAACACTGGGACTAACAGGTAATTAACTTCATTTTGCATCCTCTTAATGATACCAGTTTCTTTTCCTAGAAAAGGATTCAGTTTCATGACATGAAAATCTTACTGTTGGGAAAGAGGTTTTTGTATCTGCCAAAAGCAGAACTGCTGATTATCACCTTCACCCTGGCTGTGCCATCTTCAGGCATGACTTCTACTTCCTGAACTGTTGCTTCTTTATATAGCCAACTGTAAAAGTAAAAGCATATTAGCATCTTAATGGTATGACACACTGCATAAAGTATGATCTTGGTTTAGGTCAACATGTTCTATCTAGGTAATTTAACACTTGAAAAGATGAAGTGCTTTGCTTCACTTCTCCAGGATATCTAATGGGGCTATTTTTTGTCAATAGGTCAGAAAATTTTGATAATTATATTTGTCATTCTTACACAGATTAAAATCAGTATGATATGATTTGGAAGGTTTAGGACATGCACAACTAAGTCGTATTTCTCCAAATCCTTCATAGAATTCAAAATTATTTACCTTAGTTGAGGTCCCTCTAAGTTGACATCAATTGTCAGAATCTTCTTCCCTGTTGCTGTCAGTATTTTCTTCTCTATTTCTTGTTTCAGTTCTTCTAAACCATGCCCATGTAGAGCAGAAATAGCTAAAGCGTTTTCTTCTGTGGGTTTATACCTGAAAGAAAATAATGCCTAGCACGTTTGTTCATGAAGATTAGATTGTGAAAGTATTCCAAACTCAAGTTTAACTGAGTTACTTTATACTGGCACCTTCTACAGAGGCCACTTCTTTTATGACTAAAGTGATTTCTTTGGTTATTAAAAGATAATTAATTCTTTTTAAGACCATAGTTACATACGTAAAAGATTGAGAAACACTATCAAATGTATTTGGGAGCTCTTCTAGACTAAGAATTAAAGAGCTTCCAGAACATAAGAGATGTTTAAGTACACTTAAGCATCTCCTGCTTACCTTTCTATCAAGTCCACTTTGTTATGAACTTCTACTATTGAGTCCAATAAATGGCTGGGAAGATTAAGATTCTTCAGAACTGACAGAACAGTTGCTTTCTGGAGAATGGTTTCTGGATGAGTAATATCCCTCACGTGAACTATCAGATCCTAGCAAGGATCAACATACAACACCAGTTACCAGGCTGTAGAGATTTTCCACCATTTTTGTATTGCTTATTCATATAAGATACTTCCCTATCCATTAGATAATATACTGGCAGGTTAGCACTGTAAAATTAACTACTGAAACAGTATTAAACCCAATTCTGTTTCTTAGACCATGATGGAAGAAAATCTGTAGCAGCTTAGTATTTCACTTCACATTGAGCACAAATTGCCTCCAACAAACCTGAAACAAACCCTGTCAACCAAGCTAGCTACAGAATTCATATTTCAAGTAATAGCTGATCCATTCTTTTCAAAGACAAGGCTGTGTAATGATAAGGCTTCAACAACACCAGAGGAAAAAAAGAGTGAACTCTAAAAAGCACTTTTAGAAGAGTAATGGCTGAAAAACTGTTTCAAAAATGGAGGGAAAAAACCCCATGTAACTTGTAATTCTATTTTTACATTCAAAATGCAGAAGATTATCCTTATGCTTAGCTCTCAGGATACTATTACTGGTGCTTCAATTAAAAAGCTTTATACAGAAGTTATCAGTTTCAAGCACGCACACAATCATGTTTGCCATGATAAAAACCAAGCAACCAAATTCAATATTTGCGTTCAAAATGTTTCATCATCTTTGCTCAAAACACTGCTTTAAACTTTTGAAAATCAGTAAGAAACAAATTTCTTGCCTTTCATTTAACACTTTGGAGAAAAACAAACAAGACGGTTTCAGCCAGGTTTTGAAAGCCCTGGTGAAATCTAATCCTCAGAAGCATTCTAGCATCTAGCCACCACTGAATTTAATTACCTTTGATGATACAGGCTTTTTTTTTAAATGTCTGTGTGTATGTATGCAGCTTTACACTTTGCTATAACACAGGAAAATAATGAGAAAATAATTGGAAAAAGTACATTTATGTTAATTACGTGCTGCCTGCATCACATCACAATCACCCATTTTTAGTGCTATAGGAAACCTTAAGTTAAAACCAGATCATTTCAGCAGTTTTATTTCACTTTTAGCTCCTAAGAAAGCTAGTCTCAACTCACTCAGGTGCACTGTTCAGATATTTAATCAACAAAATCTGATTTATCTGCTTTACATATCATGGAGAAGGACACGTATATTCCAAATAAGCCCTTTCCAAAATCTCTTCATATCTGTATGTTCTGCATAATTTCAAGTAACAGAAAACTGGTTTACTGTAAGATATATACATCATTTTCTTAGGAAACTATTATAGTCAGCCAGATGTTTCACTAAGAGCAGCATGTCAATTAATTTCCCCTTTTTCGAATGAGTGAGGATTATCTAACAGGAAATTAATTTGATTTCTCAATTTTTATAGTCAACTACTTACTGTGTAAGCCACTTCTTCTAATGTAGCTGAAAAGGACTCAACCAGATTATGTGGAAGATCAGTCAGGAACCCAATGGTGTCAACATAAATAACTGCCATATGTGAGGGCAGATAGCCAGCATGGGCTGTAATATCGAGAGTGGCAAACAGCTGATCCCTGGGTTGAAGTCCTGCTTCCCCAGTCAAAGCCTTGATCAAAGTAGTTTTTCCTAGTTAAATAAAAAAAGGACAAGATTTTAATGGCTTGTTTCAAGTAAAAATGTCATTTGCAAGGCCCAGGTGAATTGTATGATGCAACATATTTTCACATCTACTTTAGTAATTTTAATGTGATCATTTAGTATGTATAGTATGGCCAGTCTTCGCGAGCGAAGATTTGGGAAAGGTCATTAACCCTTCCAGCCTGCGCAGTGGATTTTTTAGGTGAGACACAGCGTGCGCTGAACGGAGCCCACCCTTTAATCCTGAGGTTCATCTGCCGGGGCCGAGCAAGCTTGGACAGTGGCAGTGAGGGCCCCAGGACGTAGGTTTGTTTAGAGTGACCTTCTCTTAGATGGATTGCCTCACAGGGCTAACGAGCTCCATCTGCCCGGGGGGCTGGGAATCGAACCCGGGTCGCAGCGGTGAAAGTGCTGCACCCTAACCACTAGACCACCAGGGCAATTTAGTGATCAGTTATTTATATGATGTTAGGAAATCCAAAGACAGTCTTATAACTCGGAGTTGGGTTTAAGGTGAATGTATGGAAGCTATGCTGTGAAATCACAAGATGATCAAAGACTGATTTGATCTGTAAAGTGACCTATCCACATCTTTGTGCAAGGTAAGTTTGTTTTTATAAAGTTGTTGAATAAGAACATGAAATGGTCTTAAGACAATGTAACCCAGAAAAAAGTGTCTAGTCCAAAGTCTATTTATGCCTTGTGTAAGAATTCAAATTTAAAAAACAAAAACAAAAAAACAGTTTAGCTTTATTTATATTCTCTTAGGAACACGTCTCAAAACACTGCACATAATCCATGAAAAGCTACAGTGCTTCTTAAGCACATTTCTCAGATCAACTGCCAACTCTTCTCAATTTGCTTCCTATGCCTCAAGCTTTCACAGTGATCTAAACACCCATGTACTTTTCTCTACCCATTCTGATCAAGTAGTAGTCTCATATAAAGGGACACCAACACTACAGTCTTCAGCACTATATATAAAATCTTTTTGGCACGATAGGTGCTAGGCATTTCTCCAAAACATGTCTCCGAGACTGAAAAAAACAAGCAGCTTAATTTGCTTTCCTAACTGTAACCTAACTGACATAAATTCATTACACAGTTTAAAAACTAATTAAAATATGAAGCCTACTCACACAGAAATGAGATTCTGGCTAGAGTTGCTAATTAAAAATTAGACAATATAATCTCTTTCCCGTTACAATTTCAGGAGGTTTCACTTACCACAGTTAGTATAGCCCATGACTGAGACCATCGGAAACTCGCGTTTTCTGCGCTGAGTTCTAAGTAAAGACCTTTTTCTTCTTAGTTTCTCCAGGGCATTCCTAATTTTAAGTTCTCTTTCTTTCAAGATACGATTCTGTGTCTCCAGAAATGTTTCCCCTGAAAAATACAGGTGAATAATTGGCTGAGTAGTTTACAAGAGAAAAAGTAAACTAAGTGTTGTGCATTTGGAAAGCAAGTGAGTTAGCACTATGGAATATGACGTTAGAAATAAGCAACTAAAGCTATGTATTCTTGCCTAAGAATCAGAGTAAGTAATTATTAAAATATATGCTAAGTACTTTAGAATATCCATGTATACTTATGATAAACCCCTGTGGCAGGAAATAGTCTGTTCTTGACCACTTACTGAGAGAGTACAGACCAAAACTTTATTATTTAACTTGCTTTGTACATTTGCCTAATTAGATGCAGAACACGCAGGACAGTTTTTCCTCCTGACCTCCTCCAAAGCAAGTAAGATGCAACTACATTTGTTTAAAGGCTATGGAAGAAAAAAAATCTTCTAATTCATGAGAATATTTAGACTTTACCTGAGCCCATGATATACCGTGATCCACCTCTCTGCTGATCTCGCTGAGACACCTCATTTTTCAGATTTGACCTGGCAGCAGAGTAACAATTAACTAGAATCAATTTTCTTTAACTGAGCTATCCTAAAATGCCTAAAAAATGTGAAGCAGTAGTGATATTCTGACAGTACAAATAAAAACAGCAAATGACTGAGCTGTAAATAAAATCTGCTCGTGGCAAGAAGCCTGGCAAAAAAAATCCAGATTCTCCTGGCTCAACTGTGGTTTGACGAAGCATGCAACTCTCTCAGCAAATTGTAATTGCTATTCTGAAACTTCAGAGAGTCAAAGATACCTCTGATGCATCCCCACAACTCTCATCAACTGCCATGTATACATTTCTATGCCACGTAATGCAGAACTGTGGAAAATTCAGACAAGAATTAATGCCTTTAATCTTCCTTGTTTATAGCTTTCCTCATTAAACCCATCAATATCATATATTGGATACACATATCCACTTACTACATATTCTTGCAATCCATCTTCCATTTTAGAAAGAACTGGAACCTTTTCCTGATAAAAACATTTTTTAAGACTATCTATTGAACACTTTCTGGTTTTGCCTGTCAGCTTAAAACAATGACATTATAGCAAACATTTCTATTTTCTAATCAATCTATGCAAACACTGTAAAAGTAATTTTTCTTTACAGTACTGTAAAGAAAGTATTGCTATTTTTGTTACTGTAAAGAAATAGTCACTAAAATGTGTAAATATCAGTATGGGATTTGCACAGCTCGAGGTACCTGAGAAGTGGAATTTCGGCCAAAGCTATCTGCAGTTTTGCTTCTTTAGTCCGGGCATTACAACGAAAAATGTGAAGTACAATGGTGTATCTGTCAAAGACTTTCACACCCCAGGCACCTTCTAGTTCTTTCTTTAGCCATGTAAGACAAAATAATTGAGATGTCTTCTGTCCCTCGCAGTATCACTACAGCATTTCCTACACAGCACTACACTTACAGTTAGCTGATGGACACTTGAACTCAGAGGATCTCAGGATTCCATTTCAGTGGATGGGCAAGGATTATGAGCATGCAAAGGCAAAATTTGGTTGACCATGAAGAAAACGAGTTAAGAAGAGAGTTTAGAAAGTAGAACTTTATGTCTAGGCTCATCAAATTCAGCGAGAATCCTTCCATTGCCTTTAATGGATTCTGGCAACACCTCTTACAGCATTATCACAGAACCAAGAATCTCAGTGGTTAAGTCCTTCTAAAAAATAATTATGCAATACTGGAATGGGAAAGGATAGGGATAACATAGGAAAATAATAAGAAAAAGATCACTAAAGCTTAAAAAAAATAGAGAGGAAGGCAAGAAAAATATTTAATAATAAGCTTTTCACAAAATACTTAAAAACTCCAACGAACCAAAATCTCTCACCCTTGATCTAATTCAGCAAAAGACACTTAAAAGTACACAGTAGTTTCCCTATGCCAACTCTAAAATTCAGAATGCTTGTGTATCCATGTATATATATACATATCCATATATACATGTTGTATACATATTCTCAAACACTTTCTTGAATCAAGTCTCTTTAATTGCTCTTAAGATCTAGATTTGTGAAAAGAAAAAAAATAGCAAATCCAGTACTAAAAGAACTCATACTCAGAGAATAAAAACTAGGAAATTGAAATGAAACAATTTCAACTTCCCTTTCATCAACAAAAGGAAGTGCTTGAGATAACCATCTACTAGAGATACTTACCATCTCTAGTAATTTTATAGAGATACTTACCATCTTCCTAATTTTATAATTAGGAAAAGCGTTCAAAATTACTAGCAAAGCATTGATGTTTGCTTGAAGACTTTGCGTGCACTTAACACCCTGAATGATGCTATACATACAAAAACCTAAAAAAGTATTTATTTCAGTTTGTCTAAGCATTTCAAAAGAGTATCTACAGTTCACGCACCAATAGTTTTACTGCCAGTGTTAAAAAAAAGAAGTACGCTCCGCCCCTCAACATTTCTTTTTAAGGGTTAGGAATGAAAGTTTAAATATTTGAAACATTAAAAAGTAATCTTGCTCTGAATTTACACCTCATATTCAAGTTACAATTGAGCATCCACTGAACTATAGGAAAATAAAGACATTATCCAGTACTGGTATAGGTACTTGAGCATATAGCTATTCCAAAATGTTGACGTTCTTCATAAAACCACCATGTTGTCAACAAGACCTTGAGTGATTTTTTCAGCATTTTAACTAGGGCAGTGGCAAATGTGGGAGATGAGTCTATAACAAATGATACTAGGCTGCTGAAAAATTCCATGCACTAGAGCTGGCAAACAGATATATCAACTGGACAAACACAATAGGCATTAAGTTTCATTTCAACAAAACTCAGTCCTGTGCCTTCATATATTACCAATTGCAAATTCAGAGTTATAACTGACCGCTTCTCATATAACATATAACATCAATACCTTCCAAACAATACCAATGTAAAGAATGTTATTTGATACTGTATTCAGTTACCTTTGTCAGTGAAGATACTCTTTCCACATTCAAGAAGACAGCTGTCAGGTGTGGCAATTTTTTAATCTTTTCTGAAAGATAACCATTGCAAAATATAGCGTTAAATGTAAATTCTCTTTTTAAAATTCCCAGACCATAAATCATTTTACACTGAGCAGAATGTTCATAAAATGTCAAATGGCACCATGTTCATTGTTCATGGAACAGTTGCAATTGCACTGATTTGGTACTGTGCCAAGAACAGTTGCCAGTTTCACTTATGTCCATCACATATACTTACTAAGTTGCCTCACACATTTGCTGTGAGCACAGGTTATGCCTATTCTGTATTGCTTTTGTAACCTTATAACATTATCTGAAGTTTGTCTGCAAATGTGTACGATGGATAAACAATTCTCCCTCTATTCAGCTTTCACAACTATCCTTAAACAGTTCAGCCGCAAAAGTCTTGCATTCAAAATGATTCAGTGCTGAAAGATCTCAGTCCTTACCTGTCAAAACCTGAAAGTTCCCTTTGCCAAAAACAAACTTCTTGTCAGGATTTTTTGTAGGAATAATTATTTTATCTAAAACTGTCCAATTCTGAAGAGTATCTACAAGAGCGACGGCCTCAGCAATCTGTAATTCAGCTTCAGGAACATAACAATAATAAAAAAGAAATAAAGATTACAATGTACCATCATAACTCTGCTCAGATCTCCATTAACTACAGTACATGCATGAACATGGGAAGACTACACTAGACTGAAATTCTACTTGGGTATTTATTTTAACCTCTAGCACAAGGAGCAAAATGTCTTACCTCTAATCAGAGTAATTAAATAGTTTGCTGCAATTTTATCACACAAAGCATTTTTTGCCAGTATAAATTATTTTTGCAGTTGTTGATTTAGAAGAATTTTTAATTGTATTGACAGAAACTACCAAGCCTTTTGGCTAAACAAGTAAAAATAACAACTAGCTGGAAAATCTGTTATTTCAGACAAGCACAAAACCATGTGATTAACACCTAGGTGTTTTGAGGCAATATTTTAAGAATTACTAACATGGCATATCCTGCTGCTTACTTCACAGCCACTTATTTGTAAAGGACCTACACTAGTTTACGACTTGCTAGAACCAGCAAATTCCAATCCTGTATTCTGGTGGATCACTTATTTTTTGAAGATTTTGTAAAACTGACTGAAAAACACTACATGGGCACATCAGATCAGTAGATCCAGTCTTGATTTGCCAAAATTTTCCTCTTCTCATAACAGATTTATCAAGTGTCTCTAGATAGCAAAATGTAATTTATATACTAAATATGTTACCTTGGTCCAAAAGGTAATGTATTTTGAAAGATAACCATGATCCGCTTTCTCCTTGTTAGTATTTCTTGTAAAACGCAAATATTTCCTGTTCTATCTGTGGTGTTTCAACAATCATTCCAAAATATTTTTTCCGACTTCAGGCTCTTCATCTGGAGGGCCTCAAAAAATGGAAAGGGATCATTGCTATTCTTCTGCATGTTTGGACAGAAAGGTGCCTTCGTATTTTACTTATTTTTCAGTTGCAAAATAGGAGTGTTTCCGTAAATTCTGAAAAGGTTATAAACTTTATTTTGCAATGTGACAATTTGTTATAATTAGCAGCATTAATAAAACTAAATGACATTTAGGTTCATCACATAATAAATTCGAATACAAGAATAGATATCATATATAAATTGTCTATTGCCATCCAGAGGGACCTGGACAAGCTCTAGGAGCTGGCCCACGGGAATCTCATGAGGTCTAACAAGATCAAGTGCAAGGTGCTGCACCTGGGTCAGGACAAGCCCTGGTATCAATACAGGCTGGGAGATGAACAGCTCAAGAGCAGCCCTGCTGAGAAGGACTTGGGGGTGCTGGTGAACGAGAGGCTCCTCATGACCTGGCAATGTGTCTGCAGGCCAGAAAGCCAATCAAAAGATGGGCTGCATCAAAAGCAGCGTGGCAAGCAGGTAAAGGGAGGTGATTCTGCCCTCTACTCTACTCTGCTCTGCTCTGCTGAGAGCCCACCTGGAGCACTGCATCCAGCTCTGGGGTTCCCAGCACAAGACAGACATGGACCTGTTAATGCAGGCTGAGGGGAGGGCCACAAAGATGATCAGACAGATTGAACCTCTCCTATGTTGTTGACAGAGGTGGTAGAGGGCTCATTCCTGGAAATATTCAAGGTAAGGTTGGATGGGGCTCTGAGCAACCTGGTCTAGTGGCAGATGTCCCTGTTCATTGCAGCAGGGTCAGACTAGATGACCTTTAAAGGTTCCTTCCAACTCAAACTATTCCATGATTCTGTACATAAAAAGCTAACTTACAAGATGCTTAATACTTTCTATTGCAACTTTATAATTAGAGTTTGAAGAGTAGAATCAAATACATCACATATTTTAATTGTGCAAGATTAGAGCACATGTATTAGCTAGCTAAAAGGATTTCTGAGAGAAATCTAATAGTAGTCCTAAATTAGGTCCTTACAGAGGACTTCTTGGTGACTGCATCACTAAGTAACTGCATAACCACTTTAAGTCCCTGAGCGGACTTATACAAGACTTCATCTTCACTGCACTCTCTTCTTTGGACAGGAAAGTATTCCTGCTCTTCAGCCAACTGCTGGGCAAGCCTAAAGTCAAAGGTCTCCTGCCCAAATGGCCAGGCAGCACGGTTCAGGGCTGAAGGCTATTAACATTCAGCTAATGAGGGGGACACCCAGCTGTTTCCCTAAGAAACCTGCGCACTCCTGCACTGAGATGTTTTGCCATCAAAGATACAAAGTTAGTATGATTTACAAGTCACAGATCTGCCAACACTCACTGACAGCTCCTTGTCTTTTAAAAAGTTGTCAAAGAAGGAAAGAGCGACCTAGACCTTTTATCCGAGCTTGCATTTTGCAAACAGCATTTGGCAGTTTCTCTGCTGTAAGAGAGGGTCCACTTCACACTGCTGGCACTAATCACGGAAGCAATTAGGTTGGAAAAGATCTCTGAGAACATCGAGTCCAACCTGTGGCCGAACACCACCATGGCAACTACACCATAGCACTAAGTGCTGCATCCAGTAATTCCTTAAACACCTCCAGGGGCGGTGACTCCACCACCTCCCAGGGTACTTCATTCCCGGTCCCCTGGCTGTATTCCTGCGCACCGCAGCGCTCCGGGAGCCCGCCCGCCCCCCCGCAGCCCCGCACCCGTGGTGAGCGGCGACTTCCTCGGGCCCCACTTGACCGCGGGGTGCACGATGGCAACGCGCTGCGCGCCAGGCTCCAGGGCCAGCGGAGAGGGGCCCAGCAGCTCCTCCAGCTCTGCCTCATCCTCCTCCTCCTCTTCTTCTTCCTCCTCCTCTTCTTCTTCTCCTCGCCCGCCGTAGCCCGCCGCCCCCTTGCGCCTCCCCCCGCCGCCCGTGCCCGGCGGGTGCGGAGCCCTGAGCCGAGCGGCGGCGCTGAGCGGGCGGGCGGGCAGAGGGCGGCAGTGCCAGCGGGGCGCGCCCAGAGCCGCCGCCGCCGCCGCCCGCCGGCAGCGCAGCAGCAACGACCGCGAGAGGCTCCCGGGCCCCATCGGCTCCTCCGGGCACGGCAGGGAGGGACCGTCCCCGGCCGCGTCCTTCCGGCCGCCGCGGAAGCGCCGCCGCCCGCCCATGTGACGGCGCTGCCCGCCCCCGACGGGCCCAGGCAAGGCCGTGATTGACGCCGGGCCGCGCGGGGCCCGGGCTCGCCGCGCCGGGGGAGCGCCCGGGAGGGAGGGGGCGGCGTCGGTGAGTTTAATTTCTTTCTCTGTTTCATACTCTTCTGCGCCCGGGAGGAGGGAGGGGCCTTCTGCCTCGGTTTGCCTGGAATTAACTCCCTTTGTTTTCCTTTCTTGACAGTTTTCGGCTGCTGTTTCGCCCGCGAGAGCCGAAGGGATGAGTTTTTAACGCTCTCGATCTCGGTGAAGTTCCTTCAGAAGGTCGTGTCAACTTTGCTATCTGTGCTGCTGAAAGAATGTAGCGGAAATGATAGCCGAGCTCAACGCAGCCAGCAGCCTTCCCAGCCAAAAGTAAGACCTGGCACAGGTTGCCTCTAAAATTTATTTGGTAAATTAGGGTGCTGCCCCGTGGGTTTGTGCCTTGAAGATACCGCGACAATCTACAGTGTGTCCTTCTGGGTGGGAGGGGGGAAAAAAGGCATTTGCTGTACGCTATGTCTTCTTACTAATGTCTTAATTTTATTCTCTTTTATGTATTGTTTAGCATCCTCTTAATGCAGTGTTTCATGCTGTTTGAAAGGGACCTTGGCCTTCTAAGCTTTTCTGTGCCTTATTCACTGTAGTGCAAATGAACCTACTTTGAAAAAAAGAAAAAGGCAGATTCATGGTCAGTGCCATGTGTTTCCTTCAGTGGTGAGTTTGGGGATGCTGAGGGGGAAGAGTACGAAGTAATCTATAGGCTCCCTGTTGGGACTGGATGGGGCATAGCTGTTTTTGTCAGGAATCCTGCCTTCTCCCTCTTATAATGTATTTTTCAGTCATCAGTTGAGATGATCTAAAGTATTCATATTTACAGAATGGTAAAGTTAAAACATTTGGGCATATCTTGTTTGGTTTCAAAGCTTCTTAGATGTCCAATGTTGAGTGCTTTTGCTCCAGGTATTTTACTTCATTGTGCTCTAATGAAAGCTGAGAGAGTTGTAGTCCATGATGACAGTTAATATAGGTTCCCATATGGCCTTTCAAGTATGTTTCATCGGAAACCAGCCTTTTAGCTTCAGAAGTGTCATGAAGGCATCTGATAGTTGTTTAGTGGAGCTTCTTATGTTGCTTCTTAAAGATGAAGCACTTGTGTTGAAATTTATAATTTAAAAAAAGCCATGTGTAGGATTCTTTCAGTAACATAGATTAATTGTTTCTTTTTACACAGCTAAAGGAATAATGTTATCTTTTAGGTAAACAGATAGCTTTCTTATTAAGTGTTAGTCACCAAATGTTCCAAAACTGAGTTCAGAAGTTATCACAATAGTATTGTGTTTGAGGACTAGATGTAGGACTTGGCTTCCTTCCTACTTCAGGTGTTTTATCTCATCAGTAATACTTCAAGTGCTAGGGAAAGGACCATATTGTGGCAACAATACAAGGTAAAAATTAGTCTCTGAGCGTTATGTAACTGAGCATAAAGGTGAAAATTAGGATGAGATAGGAAGGGAATTCGGCTTATGCTTTCTTACTGAATGCTGATGGAAGCAAACTAAATGGCTAAGAGCTGTTTCTTCCAGTGCTTGAGGCAGTGGATTTATGTATGCAAAAATATTCAGGTGTAGAATAACAGGGGGTGGAAATAAAAACCTAACTAGTTCAGAATTTGTTAAACCTACTGTTGCACTCCTGTAGTTGAAAAGATGTTAGATGGAGTTATGGATAGGGATCGCTGCAGAAGTGATCCCCATGTCCTCCTCAACTAGGTACAGTAGTTCCTATTTTGCTCAAGAGGATAAGGTGATGTTATAATTCTTTTAACAGTTTCTTCAACAGAAATGTAGTTGTGCAAATAAAAACTCCATTTAAATATCTCATTTGATTGCTAAGAGCTTTTATGGGGTTCAGTTTCTTGGTGTTGGTCTAGTTCCTGCAAATATTTACGTACCTGCCTTATGAATAGCCTTACTGGAAACATAAGTATTAAAAGGGAAAAAAAAAAGAGAAGAGAAAAGAGAAGCAAGAGTATTAATAGTATTTGAATTTTAAAACTCCTCTACTTTAGTGTAGGTTGTCTGTTGTAGTTCTTCCTGGGGCATTGCTGTGTTCTGTGGCGTGCTGATAACCAAACTAGTTCAGAAACCAAATGGATTTCTAGTATTAATATTTAGTGTTTAGTTACATTTGTTGAGTGTTTAAGACACGTTTAGTTGCATGTGTGACAGTTATTCTGGTTTCATCCCAGATACGTTGTTTTATTTGGCATTGTGAGCCCAACGTGAGGAAGCTGTAGATCAGCGTTCTTCTCACTCTTGCAGGTTTTGCTGAGCTTTGGTAACGCGCTGTTCCATATGCCAGGCATTCCCTTGCTTTGTTGAGCCCCTTTTGCTACAAGTACATTTTGTCTTGCATAAGGTACAAAGTAAGTAGCACAGGCCCAGTAGACACTGTCTGCAGTGCCATCCTTCAGGATGTTCTTGGGAAAGAGATAAATGAGTTAGAACTTCAAAGAAGTATGTTCTAGACAGAAGTACTAAAACCAGTACGTGATCAGACAAGTACTTGACGGAACTGTCCTGCAGCAGTTCTGATTTTTTAATTAGTTAAATGTTTTAAATCAACTTGAACTCAATCATAGTTGCTGTAATCAAATGCAGTGCATTTATTTTCATTACGAGATGGAGTAGGTTGCTAAAGACTACTTGTAAACAATTCAGGAAAACTTTTTGAAAGCGTGTTAAGTGTTATGTTGAGGTATAATGGAGAAACAGGTAACCCATGTTGGATTGCATCTCAGTTGTAGTTCTAGTGAAACAGTACAAGTGAGAACTTGTTAGTCCAGCCCCATAGTGTTGCATTCTGCTTTGAAATCAAGAGTGAAGAGATTTAATCACAAAGGAGAACCATTTACTTGACAGACATGTTTGGATTCTTTTTGGTTTTGCGGTCTGTAGAAGAATCTGGGAAGAGCAAACTGGCATCAGAAAAGCAATACATATTGCTATCTCTTGCCGCTTGTTCTTTTCAGGTAGGAAGTCTCTGGTGGTACTTGAGATACTTAATTTCTGTGGCTCACAATTATAAGTCAAGACCCTTGAAAACTTCTGCAAATGATTGCCTATATCATGCTGACTCAGCTGTGAACTATAGTTCATTCTACTTTTCACATGCAAAAGTCCAGACTAGAAGTCCTGATGTAAGGATTAGTTCATCCTTAATTATTTTCTTTGCTTCTATTTGTCAAACATTGTGGCATGTTTTGAACTTTTCTATGAGAAGTGGTTAATTGAATTTAACTTTCATGAGACTTTTCTCTGTAGGGAAGGTAAGCATTTACATAATTGTATTTAGAAATTTTGCACATTTTTATGTAATTTTATATTTATATAGAATTTTTATAGGAGCCTTTGGAAGCATAATTCTACGTTGCTTCTTGAAGTGTCTCAATAGATTAAAAAAGTTAACAGAGACGTTTTTAAATAAAAAATTCTGTCTGCTCTCACTGACAAAATAACATCAGGACCTTGGTCGTGCAGTTGATGCTATTCAGCCTCAGAATTTGCTTTGCAAAGCAGTCTTGGGAAGTAGAACAACAGGAATGCTTATCTGGCATTGATAAACCTTGCTGGAGTTGAGCTGACTCAGCATCCATATCACAGTTAATTCTCCATCTGGATTAGCCAACACTGGATACTGGAGAGCTGACTGTATTTGACAGTGTAATACACTGTCTTTTCCTTTGTAAAGTGGTCACTTGTGTTAGCACACTCTCTTGTTGCAGCAATATCATGAAAATAAAGTAATTGTACACTCTCATATTTACTTTCTTTTTGTGCCTTCTTATAGTACAAGTCAACTGGCTTCATGTCCTGGCCACTGTAGTTTAAAAGGAGGCCATAGCAGTCAGCTTCCAGCACTGGACCTGCTGCACAAGTGGGATCCAGCTCGTCTGCTCAAATGTGACCTTTGGCAAAGCACATTGTTAGCATTGGGAATGATGAAAAGTGGCATGATTTCATTGCAGATAAATGTATGGCTTCAGATCTCCCAGAAGGTGCATCTTTCTTTATAAAATTATTCCTCCATCGTATTAGCAATGACCTGCAAATGAAATTTCTTATGTGTCTTTTTTCTTCAGCATGTTTTATAGACAAAATAAACCAGATTCCTCCTCTCATTTTAAATTGTACACCCATCAGATATTACTGCCTTGTTTTGTTCAGAGCACCCACAGAATGAATGCATACTTGTGTTATTGGTTCATGGTGCAAAGCTATTAAGTCAACAAAGGCTGCACTAAGTCAACATCAGCTTTCTGTTTCATTTACTTACTTTCTACTTCCTTGATATCTTTGATAGTTTTCCTAGTTTTCTGATTTTTCGTATATCTTACAGGAAAGCCAATAGTCTGAAAAAGGCCCAAATTTCTGTTGTATTTTTAAAGTTTGGTGGTTTTTTTTTTAGTAACAAAATGCCATAACTTCCAAACAATTAATTAAAAATACTAAAATACATATAAATGCTTTTATTTTCTTCTGTTGTTTGTGCTGAAGTGTGTAGTTCCGTGTTCTCATTGCTAACCTCTTCAACATGTTTGTTACACTTTAGAGTGAATGCTGTCCATGATGAGACTGTGCCTGAGTCTGCTGTGCAGAATGGCACCTGTGTGAGAAACGGCAACCTGAAAACACCAGTAAGTCGGTTTTAAAACTTTTAAAAAATATTTAATTACTTAGATTGCAGAATTTATTTTCTGTCTCATTCCATTGTTACAAAAATGATATTACATAAAGTAGTCTCAGTGCATCTAAAATCTAGTTACTGGATATAGCTTGATCCTCAAATTCCATTGGCTGGCATCAGAACCTCAGTGCTGGCTCTCTGTTTCAGCATGTGATTTTCCTTCCCTGGGCTTAGTGTGCAGCTGATGTTGATCTGCAGGTTGTGAGTTTAACCTGAGAGTGAAAAGATGTAGAGAAGTTTCCGTGCTTGCTGTCTGTTCTTCAGAAATTACAGCTGATACTGAAAACTGCCTTCTGGGTGGTATACAACTGTACAGAAGATTCTTTCCTGTTATACCTTCCTATGCTTATGACTCATTGTTGAGAAAAAATTCAAGCAGATAAATCCTTTCTTTCATTCCCTTTTAGTACAGTTGTGTTTGAGAAAGCTTTATGGGTGTCCTTGGGGGATAAAAGTTAGCAGCCTGGGGAAGTGATCGCAGTAAGGGTGAAATAAACTCATTGTTAGGGGATAATTCATGTGTCTGTGAACGTCTGGTGTGCACTGTGTTTTCTCACGTGCTTTCTTTGCTTGACTCGTTTCAGAGAGAGAAACGGAAGGTCCGAGAACAGTGTGAAAACATAAGGAGGAATTCTACCAGTAGCAGGAGAGTGAACCGGCTGCAGAATGGCGAAGTCATTGAGGCAGTTACATTGTTTGAAGTGGTTAGCATGGGGAAGCAGGCCATGCAGGTATTTCTAGCACTGAATTCTGAAAGGTCTTGGTAGAAGGAAGATGGATAAACAGTATTTCAGGCATTTATACTGTGTAGCTTTTACATTTTGGCATAGATGGGGAAGAAACATGTTTGATTGAACAACTGTTATGAGCATGACTCTTAAAAAGAGCATCTTGTGTCTTCAAGAAATTACTCAAAAAGTAGCTGTCAGATATGTAAAAAGAGGAACGGAATTATACCTAAAGCAGTGTTCCTAAGGCACTGCCTGAACATACTAGAAGATCATTATTTTAAAAAGTGTGGAAAAGTCTCATCAGTAGCAGATTTTAGTTGTCCAGGATGCTGAAAATCAGGCCTTCCTTTTTTTTTTTTGTCTCCCTGGGTGCTTTCGTTTTGGTATTTTTCTTTTACCTCTATTCCAATGTGGTTTGATAGTAGTTTGCATAATAGTTAGGTTTCCTGTGCGTCTATATAATTAGCTTCAGTGTGAGGAAGCCCACCTCCCCATACTCTGTGAGCACATGTATACATTATGTTTGTATATGTGTATGAAAATCTGGAGCCCCAAATATTTTTATGCAGTTATACCTATGTCTCCAGTGTGTAGTGTCTGTAAGCAAAGTGTATGTGTGTCTGTGCACGCATGCATGGAAAGTACATTTATATTTTGAATGCAAGACCTTAGTTTTTCCAAGATGTTTGTGTGGATGGACTTTTGCCATGCTTAAGCTGTGTTAACTTCAGTAGAGCTCACTAAAGAGCTCGCCTTCTGCTATGCAAACCATGATGGGAAGGTCCTGGAAAGGCAGTAGAGCTTGAGCTCTGCTGCTGCTAGAATTTAATAGACCTGTGTAGCACTACCGGGGGGTTGAAGCCTGGATGGTTTGTCCCAGGAGGCCTGTGTCACACAGGTTGTAGGCTGTACTGCACTAGAGATGAAATCTGGAGTTGTTTTTTGGTTTAAGTGTAGTATGTGAACTATTTCAATTTACTGCACAAACAAAGTGCTGGAGAAGAAAGCTCCTGGGGAAAATTGCTATATAATTGAATACTAATTATTAGATGGTGCAGCGGTTAAATATATGTGTTTTTGTTTTGTTTGTTTATTTGTTTGTTTTTAAATTAAACTGTTACTTTGATACTAGCAAGAAGTCAGGAGGATGACTTTTTTTTACATTAAATTTATTAAAACTGTGGTTATGAGTAGTTTAAGGCTTCATTTTGCCCCAGAAGGAGTCTTTTAAAACTATTAGAAATGGAACAGAATTGTGTGGAGTTTATTCTTGTTTTTATAATTTAATGGAGATGGAACAGTGTTAGTTTGTGTCTTTATTATGGATATTGTCAGTGGAGTACAGCATACTGTGTTCAGCTCCTGACTAATGAGTTTCTTTAATCTGTTCTAGTCTGTAGTAGATGACTGGGTTGAAGCTTATAAACAAGACAGGAATGTGGCACTTCTAGATCTGATCAACTTCTTCATTCAGTGCTCAGGCTGTCAAGGTAATTTACCCTCTTAGTAGCCCATTGTCTGTGGATGAGAATAGTCTGAAGTGTGCTTTCTAAAATGGAATTTTTCTCCTCAGTAAATCATGCACTTATAATCTGTACTGTTCGTTAAGACAAACTCCAGATGGGCAGGACTAATAGTAAAGAATGCTGCTGGTTAAACTCTTTGACTCTGTGTTCACAGCATTCCAGCTCTGAGAGTTGTATTTGAACATGGTTTGCAAGGTCAGCTTTCTGAAGTGGCATGTCACTTCGCTTTGCAGAATCCCCACGTAGGGAAGATGGTTTTGATGAGTGTTCTAATTAAAATCCAGTGTTTCAGTTGCCATTTGTTTTGTCATTTCTGAGTTTATTTTGTATTGCTGGTATCTTTGTTTGAAAAGAAGCAGCTAACAAATTCAGCTCCCTGCTTTGGTGGCTAGAAAAGCAATGCGTTGCCTCATTGTGGCTCTTTTTACCAGAGGGTGGTGAAGCTGTCTGTTTGGTAACAAACATTGAGATACTGACTTATGGGAACAATCTGCTAGTGAAATGCTTCAGGATGTCAAGTAAGAGTTTTAAGAAGACAGTTCTGTTAGTTTGAAACTTCCGAGTGTATTTAGACAGCTAGAAATGTACCTTTTACATCTTTTTTTTTTTTTTTCAGGTCTTTGCCTAATATGCCTTCTCTCTAGTATTTTGGGGTCTTTGACTAGCAGTGGGCAAAATTTTAGTAAATCTTTGAAGTAAACGAGTGAACAGAGACAGGACCAGACAGCCCAGAGCAGACTTCTCTAAAGTGAATTTCAGTTTTGGTTCATCAGTACTTTTTCTTATCAGTGAACTTATGTGTCTCTTAATATATCTATTGCCCATAGCAGTGTAGCAGATAAATAAAAAAGAGTCCTCCTTTCTTGGTGTTTCTAAATTTGAAATAAAGTCCTTACTGTGGTTTGGACTTGATTAATGTTGTGTGGTTGTTGATAATTCTTGTTTTTAAAACATTACTTTCCTAGGCATGGTAACAGCAGAGATGTTTCAAAGTTTGCACAAGAAGGATGTCATGCGAAAAATGACAGAGACCTTTGATGAGGTAGGCACAGCTTTGACTTTGCATGCCTTTTTTATATAAATAATAGGCTCTGCCTTAATAGCCAACCTGGTCAGAGTTCCTGTTGCTTATCGGGAGCTGTGTCCCGTTTCCTTAATTTAGAAAAATAATCCTGTTTTTCAGAAGAGAAATTTGGTGTTATAATGACCCATTTTAGCAGCAGCAGGATATGTTTTTTGTAAGTCACTTTTATTTTGAGAGTGTTATTAGGGCTGTCTAACTGCAGTCTTCCTGAATCTGACTTTCTCTTAGGAGTTCTTTTGGTAGTGACTTCCTACAGGTAAATATAACTTGGTGTTTCAGCAAGTAAATGGTTCCTTTGGTATTTGGTTGATGGGTCCTTTAAAAAATACTAATATAGATTACTGATGAGATATTTTTAACTGACATTTTTATTTGAATATGTTCCTTCTGCTTTATTGATACTATGATTTTTAATAATTGTATTATGGCATATGAAAGAAGAAAATTTTTTAGATAATTTTGAAAAATTGTTGAATCTCTCATTTCTTGTGGATTGTTAAGAAAAATGTGCAGCTTTACAATGATGCTTCTCTGCTTGACTGCTCCTTGGCTAATTATGGCAACATTAAATTTTCTACAGCGTTCTCACAGTTGCTTCTGTGCTTTTTTTTCTGTATTTGTCACCTCTGAATTGATTTGTCAAGCAGCAGCCATCAGGCTTGCTTTAATTGAGCATCTCTCAAAGACCAGCTGCTGTAGAAATTCCCACAGAGGATGAATTTGTCAATATGGTTTTCTTCATTTTAGAAGTGTAGTAGTTCTTGGGCTAATTTTTGACAGAAATGATCCGATATGTGTCTGGCCATATGAATTAGTAATCTGGCACTTCTTTGCCAACTAAATTAGGCCTGATTAACACTCATGGAATTGTAGGCACTCTGACAGATACAAACATGTGATTGTTGTTATCATCATCCTGGAAGTATTACAGCTCTGTAACCTTTTCATCTGTCCTGGTGGGCAAAAAGGAAGGTTCTACAGTTACCTTAGAAACTGTATTCTGTATGCTATATAAAGAAAGTAAGTTCTCTCTTATCTTTTTCATAAATTAGATGGAAATGTCAGTTAGTGATTAAGTTAGTTGAGAAATGATGCCATAGAGGACTACTATTTCAAAACCATTTTTTTAAATGATAGTAGTAGTGAAAGTAGTAATGAGAGTGGAGAATATTGCCGTGTATGTGCTCAGGTACCTCATCTTGCCTTTTAATTTTTATTGTTTGTTTCTAGCATTCAGAGGATTGAAAAATTAAAGGTTTTTATGTAATTCTTCATTCCCGATGATTTCAGTGATTCAACCATGGCATTGTTGTTCAGTTAAATAATTGCAACCTTGTACCAATGCCGCCTCCTAAAATTTTCACTAGTGTTAGTGGGAAATGTCAGTGGAGTTGAATTTTGCAAGAAGTGTGTGAAGGGCAACAAGAAAAGAATATATAAATATTCTGGGTGGCGAAGCTGTCTGTTTGGTAACAGACATTGAGACACTGACTTGTGGGGACAATCTGCTAGTGAAATGCTTCAGGATGTCAAGTAAGAGTTTTAAGAAGACAGTTCTGTTAGTTTGAAATATTGTTTTGAAACGGCAAAAGAAAGCCCAGGGAAAACATGGGTCCACTGCTAAATGTGGTGGGGGCCCTTGTGACAAAGGACACAGAAGAGCCCAAGGTACTCAATGCCGCTTTTGCTTCTTACTGATAAGATTGGCTTCCTTACTGGTAAGATTGGCTTCCTTAGTGGTAAGATTGGCTTCCTTAATGGTAAGATTGGCTTCCTTAATGGTAAGAAAGATTGGCTTTCAGAAATACTAGGTCTGTAAGATCATAGGGGAAGTCTGGAGCAAGGATTACTTACCTTCTTTGAAGGAGGTCCGCTTAGGGAACTGTTAAATGGACTGAACATACATAAAACCATGTGGTCTGACAGAAGGTACCCAGGAGTGCTGAGGGAACTGTCCGATGTCACTGTGAGGCCCCTTTTGATGATCTTTGAAAGGTTGTGGCCATTGGGACAGATTCCTGAAGCGTCGAAGAAAGCAAACGTCACTCCCGTTTTCAGAAAGGGCAGGAAGGCAGATCTGGCAAACTCAAACTGACCAGCCTCACCTTGATCCCTGGGAAGGTGAAGAAGCAACGAATTCTGGAAGTAATGTCCAAACACGTGGAGGTTAAGGAGGTGATCAGGAGTAGTCAGCATGGATTTACAAAGGGGAAATTGTGCTTAACCAACATGATAGCCAACTATAACAAAGTGAGTAGTTTGGCGGATGAGGAGGGATGAGCAGATGTTTTTTTATCTTGACTTCAGTAAGACTTGATACACTGTTCTCATGTACAAGCTGGTGAAATATTGAGTTAGTTTAGTGGACAGTTGGGTGGACTGAAAACTGGCTGAACAACCGTGCCCATGAGGTTGGCACAAGGTCCAGTTGGAGGCTAGTCACTAGTGCTGTACCCCAGGGTTTGATATTTGGGCCAGTGCTGTTTATCATATTGAATCATGACCTGGACAGTGGGACAGAGTTTGCTCTTAGCAAGTTGTCAGATGATACAAAAGCTAGGAGGATTACCTGCTAGACCAGGTGGTTGTTCTGCTGTTCAGCGGGATCTCAACAGACTGGAGAGTTGGGCAGAGGGGAAGCTCATGAAGTTTTACAACAGGAAACCCTGTAAATCTGGGGATGAATAACTCCATGCACCACTATGCACTGGGGGCTGATTGACTGGAAAGCAGCTCTGCAGAGTAGGATCTCTGTGTGGATGACAAAATGAACATGAGTCAGCAATGCGCCCTCACAGCAAAGTTGACCAACAACCTCCTGGGCTGCATTAGGCAGGGCACTGCCAGCAGGTCATGGCAGGTGATCCTTCCTCTCTGTTCATACTACTGAGACCACATCTGGAGAGCTGAGTTGAGTTCTGGGCCTCACAGTACAATAGATAGAGATGGGTTTACTGGAGTGAGTCCAGTGCAGGGCCACGAAGATGATTAATGAGCTGTCATGTGAGGAGAAGCTGAGAGAGTTGACCCTGTTCAATCTGGAAAGAAGGTGGCTCAGAGGAATCTCATCCGTGTGTAAAAATACCTGATGTGACAGAATGACAAGGAGGAAGCACAGCTCTACTCAATGGTGCCCAATGAGACAGTGAGTGCAAAGGCAAGCCAAGATAGGCAATGGGCACAATCAGAAATGTATGAAATTTCACCTGAACACAAGAAAACTTTTACTGAGAGGGTGGTCAAGCAGTGGAACAGGTTGCCCAGAGAGGTTGTAGAGTGTCTGTCTGTGAAAATATTAGTTGACTGCGCAAGGCATCACCTGACACTGAGAGGACAGACATGTACTTTCAGGGATCCTTGGCAGAATGATGGTGGCACTAATTGTAGTTACAATTAAAGCTTTATTTCTTAACAATATATTATGATTAGTCTAGCACAGAATTTATGATTAAAATGGCAGAGGGTTTCTACAAGAAGATTCAATATAATAGCATAATATAGAATTTATAATACAGCTCAGGTCTCACTGTCCAGCAGCAGCTCTGGTCAAAGTTCATCATTTAAGTCTTGCAGCCCCTTGATTCTATAGACTGCTCTGGTTGCTGTGATGGCTCCCTGTTGTGTGACTGGGTCATTGCCACCACCTGTCTGTCTGAATGCATGGGACCTTCAAGGCCGTTAAGGAAAGAAGTACTTGGCCTGGCTCTCAAAAACCACAAGACCACTAGGAAGGGGAAGAAGAAATCTGTTTGGTTTGTCTGCTTGGTTCACAGGACCTTCTGGTCCTGAGAATGAGGGAAAGGGAATGAATATGTGACCTACTTGATCACAGAGAAGTGGTGCTTGCCTCATAAAATGGCATTAGTTATGCTAAAGACGTTAGTAGGGGTTGAGAGCAGGGGTACCAGTCACACACGGCACTGGGCAGCCTACTTTGGCTGACCATGCTTGAGCAAGTGGGCTTGGTTTAGATGATCTCAAAGAGTCTTTCTCAATTTCAATCTTTCTGTGATTCTGTGAAAACTTTTGCTGGTGTTGGCTGCAGAGAATGTGATCGTTGAGGCATTTCCTCTTTGTGGTCTGTGGTATTCCTCAGTAGTGAGATAGACTTGTCTTTAGGACCACTGTTTTCTGTTTTACTTCTTTCTTAAACTAATCTGTTTCTCTCTTCTGCTTTTCTTTCTGTATGTAACATTTTATTTTTTGTAGTTCTTTGTTCTTTTATAGGTCTCCCTTCCCTTTCCCATTTTGTTGCTGAAATGTTTGTCAATGGAAGAGTTAAGTTTGATGCATAACTGTACAACTAGATGGGGATAGAAATACTTTTACTTCATTAAGCGTAATAAATAACTCTAGATTTCATGCCTTTTGTCTTGGAATAATTGCAGAGTTGAGAAAACATCTCTGAATCAAGTTACACTAGTGCTGAAAACATTTCTCTATAATTTGAAAAGCTCAGAATGTTTTTTGTTTTAGAGTTTGGATGTTTTACGGTATCTAGGTACTAAATGTTGGAAAGGGATATATACTTAGCCTTGCTGAGAAGCCGTATCTTAGAATTAATAATGAGAGTTATACTTTGTATATGTTTGCTTTTAAATTTTGAAAACAAGTTGTGTCTTACTTGTAGCAAGAAAACTCAGGTTTTATGTAAAACTGTGTTTTTCTTCTGTCATTGGTTATAAATAAAAAATACCAAGAAAAGAAGGATTTAGATTTTGTTTAATGTTTTAGATTGTCTGAACCACCTGTAATACACATTATCTGAAGTTCTAATAGCCTTTTAAAGATGTTGCATGTTTTGTGATGCTTTTGTGTTTATGAATTAACTGTGCCATTTCATCGTCAAGCTTTCAAAATTTTGTCTCCTGCATTACAGGAAACTGGGTTGCAGTACAAGAAATTCATGGCCTATCCTTGGATCCTGACAGTTACTTGGCCGGTGGACATGGTAGGACTGTTGTGGTTCTCTGCAACTGAAGTATAGCAGTTTCTATGGTTGTATATCCTGTTTTCAGTGTAGGCAGACACATCAGAAGTAGTCATCTTAAAGTGGATGGAGATAATCGTGCACTTCTAGAGGTGCCTCATCAGGTCTGTTTTAGACCTCTGTTTTGGATGACACACACTTCTAAAGTGTCTGTTTCTCACTACTTATGTCAAAGAGATGGGACATCAGCATTTTGAACAGATTGGTGTGTATCGAGTTGCAGTGGTGCTCAAGAATGTTCCCCATCCCTTCCAGCAAGCTCTACACACACGTGTGTGTGTATGCATGCGTATGTGCACACATGCGTATGCACACAGAGGTTTTGGCAGACAGATTTGTTCAAATAAATGTTTAAATGGAAGAATATTTTGAGAGCAGAATCAGCTTTTCTGCAATGCCCCTTCCCATACAACAATTGCAGCATTGTGGGGAATTTATCTCATTTCCTTGTTGGCACTTGATTTTGATTTTCTTCTGTTTACGTAGACTCTGTATGAAAAAAGGAAACATTTCCAGGTTGAGTCAGAGCAGGAGCTCACATCACTCACTTGGGTGATTTCAATAGTTTCTGGAAGAACCTGTGTGAAGTGCCTAGTCTGGCTTGATTTCTGGAAGCAGAGCTACTTCTCTACTGGTTATGGAAGGAATCTAAGGGAATCCCAAGTTAGGTGCCTAACTTTAGGTGGTGTGCCCATTGTGTCGTCTATATGTTTACAATATGCATGTTACCATTAAACAGTATCCCAGTGCAATAAACAAGGATAGTAGTAACGCTCTTGAAAAGTGAGATTTTGTATATTTGTGCTGCTTTTCAGATTGAGGAATAAGTTATGGTGGTAAAGTAGGTATTTCCTGAAGTTGTAGGTTGTCTTTCTGCTGTCTATGTCAGGATCAAGGAGCATTAAATGGAGCTTGATGAGAACTTCCCTTTCTGTCTTGGCACTTGCTGCTGCTGTTAGGCTCTGAACTGACTCTTATAACCTGACCAGGAACACATCCCAAATTCCAGATTTCCAGTATATTTTAGGTTGTGGCCAACCCTGTGATCAGTCTGGGTTTGCATTTATTTTTCAAGAAAGCCGTGGCCCCTGTGCTTTGGAAACAAAGTTACAAGAGAAGAGCATAAAGTGTACTTTTTAAGTACACGAAGTTGTGCTGGATGTGAAGCTGTAAGTTAGAATATGTCTGAGAAGGTGTTTGAGCACCTAGTGAAGGACCAGCTGAACAGTGGCCTGCCTTCAGGATGAAGTTTTCCATAGTGAGTAAAATTTTGGAGTTCCTTGGCTCCACTCACACCTGGAAACTGTCAGGATGCAAATTCATATTCTGAACCATTCCTGGGATCTGTGATGTGTAAATGAAATAAATATTCACACCGTCTGAAGTTGCCATTTACAGTCTTCCTAACGTGCCTTTCACATGTGTGAGAAGTCATTTGAACTTCCCTCTGTCTGCTTTCCTCCTGGCAGTATGAACTGTACTGTGAACACTTATGGTTTTACTGTAACTTGCTTTTTGTGTAATGTCAAAGGTATTGCCTACTTACTGTTTTTGTGGAGGTTTTTGGAGACCCTGGTGTGGACGGTATACGTGAATGACACCTATGTCAGTAAGCTTTAGCCTGATAAACTCCTTAAGCTGGCAATGCTACTGAGGAAAACAATCCCATCCTGTTCACACTGCAGTTGTTTGTCTCCACTTAACACTCACTTAATTTTCTGCCTGGATTTTACCATGCTTTTGCAGGAAGAGGAAAGACAGGGAAGTGGGGAAGCACTACTACCTGTGAGGAAGTAGAGGGGGCCATGAGTGCTCATGGTTTATGCCACTGAAAGTTATTTATGATGCTCTGGCTTCACATGCCCTCTCCTCCTGTCTGTTCACAGCTACCTCACATATATTGTTTTCGAATGTGAGCTGTCATGACAAGGTAGCTATGATGAAGCTATTTTGTCTCTGTGCTTGCTTGTAGCCTAGTTGCTTGTCCCTGATTTGGAGTAATAACCATGAAAAAAGTTTTGGGGGCATGAAATGAAACTCACCAAAACTCTCTCTCATATTCAATGGGAGAGATGTGAATGCACAAACAAAGATAATTAGTGTGTTTTCTCTTGACTTTTCTTTCTTGTACAGGACAATGAAGACTACCCACTGATCAGAACAGGACCCTATTGGAAGAAGTTCAAGGCCAATTTCTGTGAATTTATTGCAGTGCTTGTCCAGCAGTGCCAGTGCAGCATCCTGTATGATAGCTACTTGATGGACACTGTCATCTCGCTGCTTACAGGCTTAGCGGACTCCATGGTCAGAGCATTTAGACACACAAGCACTTTGGCAGGTAAAATAACTCGCAGAATTGCTGGAGATAATCTTTAGAGTAGATAGAGTTTTGTTGTCTTGTGTACAAACAAAACTGCTCTAAATTGAAAAGCTCTGTTTACTGGAGCAGTTGTTCTCTTACGCATTGAGAGCGCCTTCCTCCTAATATATGTTATACAATTGTCTAGAATATGAATTGTTTGTTCCCGTGTATATCTGAATGGAATTTGGATGCTTTAGATATGATAGGTTTAGCTCAATTTTTTCTTTATAAAGAAATTTTCTTTAGTGTCTGACATGACTAACTTTAGAATTATGCTGTTCTGAGTCTTTTTTTTTTTTTTCAGTAACTGTTTTTTCATAGTTTTCTACTTTATTTTCCTCCCTCCACTGATTAATGTGATGAGGTTGCATTAAACTCTTCACCTAAAAAAGCTTCCTTTGGAGAGCTGCTATTTTTGTGGTCTCTGTGCTAAAAAGAACATTTTTGTCTCATGAAGCATGATGATACTAAAGCTGCAACTTTTTTTTCCCCCCTAAAGCTAGTAAATACCCTCTTCACAATGCAAAGAGCACTTAAAGTATAATTTAGTATGCTGTTTGCTTTGAAGACTCAAAAAACCCACTTGAAATCTATACAAACTATCTAGCAATCCTTAGGGGAATATGAATTTTTGTCAATTCCATTAAAATTAAGATTCCCAGCCTTTTCTGAGCCAGCTTCCCTGTTTTTTCTATTTTTTTAGTTACTGAAAATCAGCTGTTCCACAATTCTAGATTCTTTTGCAGAAAAGTCAGAATTACATAAACTAAGAAGAGTTGCCCAGTAAATTACTTCTCTGACTAGAACTCTGACCAAAAGTTGTAAATCACCAGAAATAGAACTTAGTTTTCCTTTTTTTGAAAATTGTCTGCCTTTATAAACGCTGTATTTTAAAATAAATTAATAATCCAGTAATGTTCATAATTTGGATATAAAATGGATTTGGCTAACCTTATCGTTTTTGTGATAAAGTGGTGAATATATTTATGCTACATATCTCTGAGCTAAGCTAAATGTGTTGGGTTTGTTTCTTTTTTAGCAATGAAACTTTTGACGGCAGTTGTAAGCGTCCATCTGAACCTTGATGTCAACAAGCACAATGCTCAAAGATTATATGAGGTGGAGAAGCAGAGGATAAGTGGCAAGAGGACCAGTTACAGACTTGACCAGCTAGAGAGAAAAAGGAAAGAGGTTAGGGAGGTGTCTTGTACAGGAGATGTGTGAAAATGTAAAAAGAGGGATTTCTGACTGCTTGCTTTTGGGTCACTGCAGCTCCTTGAGGTTTATATGTTTGTCTAATGCATTGTGCAGAGCAGGTGTGACTGGCTGGATTAAGTGGTACAAAAATGACTGACGCAATAACTGCATTATGTACTGTTAACCTCTGATGTCTGTCCTAGTAACTGCTTCTTTAAATTGGTATTGTTAGCCCTTGATCTTTGTACAAATGTGGGTTTACACACAGATTTAATTGCCTCAATAGCTCTGGTGTTGTGGGAGTGCAGGTTTGTATACGTTTGTACAAATTACAAGCCAAAATGTTAGCAAAGAATGAAAAAGGGCACAGGATAACTGACATCTCTGTGTAAGTAATGCATTATAAAAACAGACTTAACTCAGGTATGTCCTGTATCACTTCTGCTGTTCAGTTTCTATCATTTCTTCCCTGCTCAAACAGCTCCTTTTCAACTCCCAGAGGCAGAACTGTAACTTTAAAAAATAATTCTGACTTGAAGAAGGAGGTGACTTGATATATGAAGATCAAGCACAGTTCCTTGTCTCCTGACCTTAGAATCACTAATCTCTTTTCTAAGCTTTGGATGTCCATGGACTTCTCTGTTACAGAAACAACCCCTTTTTTGTGGGAAGGAGTGTCTGGGTTAGGCAGGGTGTTTTAGTATCATCATAAATCTGATCTTATGGGAAAGACAGAGGAAGTGGGTGTGTTGGGGGGAAACTCAAACTTGTCACCCTTTCTGATGCTGTTGATGAGAAAATGTTTTTATTAAGTGGCTTGGTTTCTTAGAAGTTCGTATCTAGATTTTCAGGGCTCAGTTAAAATACATGCTCATTGTGCAATTGATGTATTTTGAAAATGCCTTTCTTCCATCTCTGTTCAAATACATAAAACCAGAATTTGGACCTATATATGAAGATCATTTGCATATTGATAGATCAGGACTCACTGTATCAAACGAGTTCCCTGTTAGCCAGGTTAGCAGTTGGTATCCAATAAACCTTTCCTCAGGACATAGCTAACAAAGAGGCCAATTGCTGGTGTAGATACAGACCACTCGTTTTATGTTGGTACCATGTGTAAACACCAGCCGTTTTCATCACGGTAGTATTCCAAGTGCCCTACTGCAAATTTTTCATGTGTAGTGAATTGTGGGACCAATATTAACATTCAGTTCTCTTTATATTTCAGTATGAGCACAAGCTTCTAGAGATACAGAACATGATGAATGCTATTTTCAAAGGGACATTTCTAAACCGTTACCGGTAAGAGTAAAAATAAAGCTGTGATGTGTATCTTCATTCCCAAGAAACTCTTGCTCAGATTATACAGATAGGAGAATCAAGTTAAACATCCTAGAGGCACTGATGGTGTCAAGGAAAGTGTAGCAGTTAAATTAATTTAAAGAATTTGGGCTTATGAAAAGACCTCTTGAGTATGCTTCTTCAGTTCTTCCTGCTGGCTGTAAAGCAGTGCATTTGTGATTGAGAAGATATCAGGAATTGCAAAATAATTATTGCATGAAACTTTGTGGCTAAAAGTGGTCTAAGTATTGATTGAAGACTAACTTATTAATATGAAAATACTTGTAATATTTTGAATAATACATGCTTTTTGCAATTCCAGAACATAAAAATATTGCAAATAACATAACTGATTTTTATATTGATTTTTAATGTATTAATATTATGATTTTATAATTGCACAGTGATGTGATCCCTGAGATCCGAGCGACTTGCATTGAAGAAATTGGCAGCTGGATTAAAACGTACCCAGATGCTTTTTTAAATGATAGCTATTTAAAATATGTTGGATGGATGCTGTATGATAAGGTAAAGTTTTAAAGTTTTTCTTACCGGGGGTAGTACAGGGGATTTTTAAAAATTTTTTTTTGAAGAATCCTAACATTTAAATTCTTGAGAGTAGATATTTAAAACTGTAGTGGTACAAAAAAGAAATTACTTTCTTCCCCATTTCAGGTTTTATTTTCAAAACCATTGTAACACTAAATAACAGAGAACATTTTTTTCCAGTTCTGTGTGTATCCCTGTGTGTGCAATTATTTTTATATGTTACTGAATGGGGAATTATTTCTGATTGTAAATTGGCCTATATCCGTTGAGCACAGGTGGTGTTAAATGTTGATTGAAATTCTGCTTTTATGCTTGATGGACATTTAAAATTTTGTTTAAATTTATAAAAATGAACAAATAGATATTGTCTATAGTAAATAGTCTTCAATATTGCATTTCTCATTTGGAATTAGATGGATATAGAAAATATTTACAGAAAGTCCAGCCATGTCTCAAAGAGTTTTCTCCTTTTCCTTATGGTATATTTGTTTTTGCTTTTCGAGTAGAGGCACATTTAAAACCCCCCCAAAACCTACCAAAACAAACAACCCAAAACCCCAAAAGAAGTCAGTAACTCCAAAATGCCAAGCAATAGGACAAGAAACGATGGACAGAATCTGATGCACAGAAAGTTCCACCTGAACACGAGGAACAATTTCTTTACTGTGTATGTGACTGCGCACCGTGTCTGGTTCTGGGCCCCTCAGTTCAGAAAAGATATTGAGGTGCTGGAGCAGATCCAGAGAAGAGCAACAAAGCTGGTGAAGGGACTCAAGCACAAGTCCTGTGAGGAGAGGCTGAGGGAGCTGGGATTGTTTAGCCTGGAGAAGAGGAGGCTCAGGGAAGACCTCCTCACTCTACAACTCCCTGAAAGGAAGTTGTAGCCAGGTGGGGGTTGGTCTCTTCTCCCTGGCAGCTCTCAGGAAGACAAGAGGGCATGGTCTTAAACTGTGCCAGGGGAGGTTTAGGTTGGATATTAGGAAGGAATTTTTTACGGAGAGAGTAATCCGACATTGGAATGGGCTGCCCAGGGAGGTGGTGGATTCTCTGTCCCTGGAGGTTTTTAAGATGAGACTGGATGTGGCACTTAGTGCCATGGTCTAGTAACCACAGCAGTGTTGGATCAAGGGTTGGACTTGATTATCTCGGAGGTCTTTTCCAACCTGGTTGATTCTATGATTCTGTGACTGGAACGGGTTGCCCAGAGAGGTTGTGGAGTCTCCCTCACTGGAGATATGCAAGAACCGTCTGGATGCAGTCCTGTGCAATGTGCTCCAGGATGACCCTGTGTGAGCAGGAGATTGGACCAGATGAGGTCCCTTCCAACCTACCCATTCTGTGATTCTGTGAAAATATGCTTTTTCTTGTGCTTCTAAAATGATGAGAGATTTTAGGAGGATAGGAATGTTTATCAAGAATGGCTAATTACAGAAATTGGCACACTGTGCTTCTGCAGGCCACCTTTGAAGGTGTATATAGCTCCTGTGTACATCCTGAAACATCCTGGTATTTGTGCCAGCTCTGGGCGATGTTTGTGTTCTGTGAGTGAAGTTGTAGTTTGCCACCAAGGCCAGGAGGGGTCGCACGAGGCCTCTTGCTTCCCTGCATCGTGCCGTTCCTCTAAAGGCGGCACTTGGGTTTTTAGGACAACAAATCTATCAAGGACTGTTGGGTTTTTCCTGCATAAATTTTATCTGATCAGAATATCTTTTTAGTGTATGTTCAGTTTGGAGAATTCTCAAAATAAAGTCATTTTTGAAGATGACATGTCTTCATTTGCAGTACTGTACAGTGAAAATTAACAGCTGTTGTCTCTGATTAATGCACGTAGTTCATCCAGTGCCATTTACTGGGAACTGGAAATGTTTTTTTTTTCTAAAGCTTTTTATCTGAAAGCAAAGCACATGCAATAAGAGTGAGATAAAGTGGGGAGTCTTCCATATATTACATTTGCTTGAGACTTGGTAGTGTGCCACTACTGGTGGCTGCAGTCCTGGCAGTGCTTTGTGATTTGCAGCCACTGTCAAATTGCCTGATTTCAAAAGGAGAGCAGGGCATTTTTGGCATCAGCAGGGGCAGCAGTGCTTCTATATACATATGTATGTAATTTCCCACTACTTCTCCTTAATAAGCATTTCTGTCCCATCTTGCTGGGGGTGGGCAGCAAGAAACTGCTAATTCCCAGAGCCAGTTTTCTTTTAGTATATATCACAGAGAAGTTTGCCAAATAATTTAGGTCCCAGAGTGGAACAACCACGGAAGTATTCTAAGGATGGGAGAAAACCTGGCCAGGATCATCTACAGTGCTGTAAACAGAGATTAAGTTCAGTTATTTGTGAGGCTTTAAAGGGGAGAGAGGAGGGAGAAGTAAGTATAAAATTAACATTTTTGTCTCCAGAGTCTTTTATTTGAAGATGATCAATGTTTCTTCCCCATGAGATACCATTTTGCCATTATAATTTGATATTAAACATTATATTTTTACGTGAAAGGTTATTTTCTAGATGCAAGAAGATTCTTCAAAATCAGAGATAAGATGCTCAAAATTGTATGTGAAAAGCTCTCTTTGCCCCAATAAGAGTTGTGGAACAGCAGTATAAAGATATGCTTTCAAGTAGTTTATATTCATCTGCCAGAAATAATTTAACTTTTTATTTTTGAAGACCAGGGAACAGCTGATAATAAATCTGATAGTTGTTTGCAGTTGGACATTATATATAAGCCCAGTCACCTGCATTTGTGAAACCTAGGCCCTTGCCTTGTACTCAAAGGCTCTACTGTTCTTCCAAGGGAATATGTAGTACCTAAATCAGCATCCAGATCCAATTAAACCCATGCTGATTTGAGCAGCAGATGTTGAAGGGAAGTGCTGTGTAAAAATTTCTGAGTTAAAGACAGAAAAATCAAGACAATGAAGAATAAGGATGGGAAAAGGAATCAGGAAGGCAGAGAGGATGGAGATTAACACTTGCGATCTCCTACCATGTTAGACTAGCTTTATCTGGAACTTCAGGGCAAGTTGTTGAGGTTTTCTCATTAGACTGTGAAAAACACTCAAAGAAATCCCATGGAAACAGGAACTTTCTGCTGAAATGAACTTCTGTGTCTTGACTATGGGATCCTCCTGGCAAATTTCAGGAAATTGAAAGCGTTTTTAGTTTTGCCTTCTGTCCAACATGGCTGTAGAAACTGATCCCATGGTTCTGGCTACTTCTGAAATACTTATTTCTTCAAATGGTTTTCTGCTCATATCTTTGTGCATATGTGTGGATTTTTTTTGGGGGAGGGCAGTTTTTTAAATTGTTTTATTCAAAGGACAGGTGGATTGTCTCTGCTATTGAGGGATAATTCAGAAGTGGATCTCCCCAGTTTATAACCTGGGGGGTGTTGAGGAGTAAAAAATGACTCAATGACTCACTCAAACCATCCAACTCCCACCCTGTATTTGTAAGGTTTATTGAGTGGCCCCATCTCTGTGATAGTGGTGGGGCTGAAATCTCATAACTGAATGTGTCTAAACAGTGCTGGAGCCCATGCAGAGCTCTCTGAGGTCAGAGCTGCCCACCACTTTGCTGCTGTTTTCTGCCAGTCTGTTTGCGGGTCAGGGTCGAAATATGCTGTGGTACAGCTGAGGGACAGTGTGTGTGTTCAGAGTATCCTGAAAATGTGCTTACATAATTCGCCTTCACTCTGTCACATCTTTGAAAGACTGAACAGGCAGGTATTTTGGCAAGGTTAAAATGGTAGGTCTGGCAAGGAGATAAGGTGGCTGGGTGTTTGTGTTTGCTAATATTAGTGTTGAAAGGAGCTGAAGATAAGTAGTGAAATAGTTAATTCAAAATTGATCATTCAGAATTACTTCACATCCTTCTAAAACTGTGAGGAATGTTGAATCTGGAAAAGGGGAAGTGGTTGAGAAGGAGAAAATGTAGATGAAAAACATAGGAAAATAGCAGAGGTAGTCAGAGTAGAAGTAGTTATGTGTTTCTAGTTACTAGAGTTAATTTTCTCAACACTTAAAAGAAACATACACATAAAGGGTTATGACTGAGAGCTTTCAGGTGGGAACAGGTATCTTAGAAGGGAGATGGTATACTTTAATGTATTAAACTTTATATCTGCAGATCCACACTTGAATGCCACCTGATTGACAAATGACATTACTCGCTGCATGCCAAGGGCTATATGACCATTCAGCAAGCCATTGCAGACTTCTTTCCTTTTCTCCAAGCACGAATTCAGTCCCTATTCACAAGCAAAGCCTTGTGGAAAAGAACTGAGTGCAGCTGAAGCCAAGATTGCTGTACATTGGCTGAGCTGAGTTCGTGCACGTGTGCAGGGACGGGTACCAACTTGGGACTGTTTGTGAGTGAATTCTGTGCTGCGGAGCCCCTGTGGCTGTAGGAAGCAGCAGGTGTGGGCAACGGTCTCTTCCTCAGAGACTTTAAAGTTTAAGTAAAATATAGAATAAGTACTGCTGGTGTATTATGGGCAGATTAAAGAACAGTGTACGTTGTTACCTGTTGATCCTTTGGGTTATATTTCTAGCAAAAAGCAAAACTGTTTGGCAAACCCTTCTACTGGGTATCATCCTTGGCTTTCCATCTAAGCAGGTGAACAGGAACTTGTAGCAATGGATAGCCTATGTGTAGGTGGTCTCCTTTCTTGGATTTCCTTGATTATTCTTACTGCTATTGTTAGCAAGAGGAATTAAGAAAGAAATATAAAGAGACTGATTCAAAGGCTGCAGTTCATTTAAGTGTCTCTGCTGATATCCTTAGCATTATAATTTTACAGAACATGGTCATTTTTCTGTGTTGAATCTTAAAAATTACTTTCCTAATGCTATTTAAAACTTTGTCATTTGAAAGATGTAGCAATATGCATGAGATAATTTAAAAACTGGATAAGGAAAAGACTTCTTTTTGAGGTGTCCATGAAGCAACAGTGCTCGTAATATGAAATAACACCTTGCATGGATAAATATGTTTAGCCTAAATTAACTAATTAGGCCAGATTCAAAGCAACCCTTTTCTTAGAATGCTTAAAACACAGTGTTCTAGTGTAAAACAGAAATAGGGAGAAGGCATAACACAACTCTGTAAGAACCCACAATAACAAGCCAGTGCGTTTCTAGAGCGTGCCTCTTCCTCTGGGAATCCAGAGTAATCCAGAATTTCTTGGAGTCCTTGTCTGTGTCTAACAGTTGTCCAAGTCAACAGTTGAAAGGAAGCAAGCAAAGTCTGATGTATGGGAGAGTGCTGGTTGTATTAAGTAGGTCATCCATACTCTTGTCTTTGTATCTTTAACAGATGAATAGCACAATCCCTGTATCTTTTGCACTCTGTTGCTTTTATTAACTGCAAGGTCTGTGAGAGTTTCTTTGACTCTTAGGGAGCCTAACACAAACTTTGATGTTACCTTTAAGTTTGGCTCACTGCAGGCTTCCTCTGTGTGTGTGAGAGAGAGACAAGTGTGTATACGCACAAACAAGATGGTACTGATATCACTAATAAAGGAGATAAGGCAGCATTTGGATAGCCTGCTGTAGGCACCACAAAGAACTCTTATTTACATAATAGAAATGCCAGTAGTGAACAACAAAGATACATGTTTTTTACTCTTAGCCTATTTGTCTTTGTCTTGTAGCAAGCTGAAGTGCGGTTGAAGTGTCTTCTGGGACTGCAGGGAATTTATAGCAGAAAAGAACTTGTTTCCAGGATGGATCTCTTTACTAGCAGATTCAAGGTAAATTACTGTTTGCTCTTTTTTTTAAGTCTAGGTCAGGTGTATACACAAGGTCAAATGTTTTGATCAGAGCTGATCTCCCCGTTGTCTTGACTGACAGGAACTGCAGAAACAGCCTGATTGACTGAGTGGATGAAGGGGTTTTGCAGGGATGTTTCCCTCTGTTTCTGTGGAATATTCCTTTTCACTTTAGTTTATGCAGAAAACGGTGTTAGCATGCACTGTGGTCAGTTACCTCCACCATTCATCTGGAATGGCCCAAATTTTTTACAGGATCTTTGGCAGATGACAAAGAATTTCATATGCTGAAGGTCCCTTTTTTTGCTGCCCCAGATAATGGGTTAACCTTGTAGATATTGGACTGGCTGTCCATGTATCACACTGATGTGGGAATGGCTCTCTCTTGATCTACCATGTCAGTATGAATCTTGAAGCAGGATCCCTTATCTCCTTTCTGATCAAGTCAGGTGATACACAGTAAGTTTGAGAGTGTTTTGTGGCTGCACTGACACTGTACACTGCCTTTATCATATTTCAACATCCTGACTCATTTAAGAAGTAAGACCTTTACTTTTTTTAATCCTGGCTTGGATTAAATTGGTAATGATTTTGTCAGCTACTTTTATCCCAGTGAGGTTGGGCCTTTTCAGTATTTGAATAAGAAAGCTCAAGATGTGATTGATATTTCAGTCCTTCTGCATCAGTACATAATCAATGCCTGCATGTGGTGCTAATTTGTGTTCTTTTTGCAAAGGTGCAGTGCTTATCTGTATATCTAAGCAATTGCTAATAGTGAAAAATACCTATAGCACATCCTCAAAGAACAAGAAATAGATTAATATTGCTATCTTAAGAATAAATTATTCAGACTGAAGCTTGTCTATCTAAATGATTTAAATGATTATCTGGTAGTCCCTTATCTTTCTGTGTGCTGCAAGCTGCGTAACCACAGGATTGGTATTCAATAAAGACTGACGAAATAGCTCCAGTCTGTCTGTACTGCAAGCTCCCTCTGTGTGGAGGATGCAATGTAAATGGATCATTGCAAACTCCATCCCCCAATCAAAAAAACTCCACCCAAACACAACTCCTTCCCCTCTAAGTGAAAGAAACCCAAACAGCTACAGGCAACATACAAGTTTCAAAGTTTAAATCATGCTTTCTGAGTGATGGGGAATGCAATCATATAACCATGAATCCATTTCCTGCAAGAGGGAGTTTCACATGTTATCTCTGTTACCCTTGAGTGTTCAAACTCAGGATTTGTGCATTTAACACACCTTGCAACTGAATTGTGAGAAAAAGGAATTTGCAAAGTAAAATGAATCTAGAGATTTATGTTAAATGAGAAAGCTGTTAGTCCCCGGTCAAGCAAGTCTGAAGGTATAATATATCTTAAAGATATAGGCCACACTGAGGTGTGCAAGTTCTTGGTTACACGGGACAGGAAAATTTCCAGTTTTCTGAGATGTTTGCATGTGTACCAAGTTACAATAGTGTGCATTTTGGAGGTCAGGAATATTGCTGCTATTCCAGGAGGTGCCTTTATGACTTAAGTCCTAATTATCTTTCTAGCAAGGCACTGGCTTCTGTAATGTGTAGGTACAGGCACTTCACTGTTGATGGGAGAAACTGATTATATAATGCTTGTAATTTGAAGCTTACCTTCATTTAACATGCTGAAGTGCCAATAGTAACATCTTAGAAACAAGTTGTCAGTCACTTTTAATTTGTAGACTGTAGTTGATTTCTTGTGAATGCATACATTACATCTATAAAAAATATCATATTACTGCATGATTAATTCAGTTAAAAAATTAACATGCTGTTAATTTTCAGGGGCTGGGGAACTACTTGGTAGTAATCAAGTTGCCTTATGTCTCTTAGGAAATAGCTGCCGAAATAAAAATAAATCTCTGCTGTACTAGCGTAGATGATCTAGCTGTAGCAAAAATACGTGTTTATTGAGAACAAACCATGTTACATCTTTTTATTGTCATTTTACACCCATTAGGATCGAATTGTGTCCATGCCTCTGGACAAGGACCATGAAGTAGCAGTTCAAGCCATGAAACTCTTGATGCTTATGTCACAGTAAATAATTTCTTTTTTAATTTACTGTATTGTTTTAATGGCAACAAGATGTAGATACAATCCTGATGAGTCTTCCTGTAATCAGTTACCTGTTGGGAAACAGTTGCTCCTGTCAGGGTATGAGTTACAGATAAGGTGCCCAAGATGTGGCATTTTCTTTCTGTGGGAAATACCATTGTTAAGAAAACCCCTGTGCTGAGATTCAATCTGAAAACTACATTTTTATGTCTTTACACTTTGTCTTGAAAGGAAATGCCACATTTTCATTTTGGCTTTTCTCAAATAGAGCATTTGCCTCTCTTGGAGGAAGTTCCCCCTGAATACGGGGTCCCCGCCCCATCTTCTGTCTTAGGGTTGCCAGGCCTTGACCAGAAGCTCGGAGAACTCTGCCAGCTTCCCTGTCTCTGCACCTAATGCAGGAGGCCCTGAGCTTTGAGGCTGTTGCTAGAATTTGGACTTTCAGATTCTTGACTCCATGGCAGAGAATCTGGGAGCCATTGAGCCCACAGCAGACTGACCTGCAAGAAATGATGAAGTGTATGACATTTTGGTTTTGCTGAAGTTAAAAACTAACAGAAAAGTTGTTTCCTTGGAAAATCTACCTCCCAGCCATAGATTTGGTAGGATAATGGCAAGCTGGAAGTGTGGGGAAAAATTAGACTTACTCTTACAGAAGTATAAGAATCTTATTCTGATATATCCTTGAGCAGCATGTTTATTTTAGACATGGCTTTATTTGCAAAACATGTGGAGAATAAATTCTCTGTCCCTCTTTTTCAAAGCAAAATGTGAATAAAACCCTCACTCCCGTTTCATTGGTAATACAGCTGAGATGTTGGAAGTCAGTGTCTTTTCTGTCTCTGAGTGTAAGTTGGATTCAGCTGATGCAGATGCTTAACTTCCATGTACAGCATGACACATTGTCCATTAGCCTTGTGGGATTTGCTTCTCCATTTAAGACAGAAGTATTAGTCATTGATAGCTCAGCACGTAAATCTTAATGGACCAATTAATATGGTGTTGCAGGTATTTGCATTAAATTTCAAGTACATTTGTATGTTGAAGTGCTGCTTTATAGTCTACTAGTTTGAGTGGCATTTCTCCAGTCCCCCTTCAACAGGCACATCAGAGCAGCATATGATGCTGTGAACACAATACGCTTTTCTGAAGGTAGGACCGTTGTTTGGGCCTCACTGGTAGTAGCTGTGGTTACATTGTTTCTGTGTTCACAATGTCCATTTTTGCATCCCTTGGTTCCCCGTGGTGTGCTGTTGGAACAAAGCACAATGCTGTGTCCATGTGTAATGTGTCCCTGTGCTAGGAAGAGCAGCTCACCATTGTTGAAGTACAAAGATTCCAAACACCACTCAGGGCTGCTCTTGTTCTGTATCTGAAATAACAAGAGCTATATTGGCACTGCAGCTGTTTATCATCTCTGGCTTTATTATAAGAGATCATATTCTCATTAATGCAAGCTGCAGCTATAAAAGTTTGATCAATGTTTCTTTTTCCCTGAAGCTCTTTTTTCCTAATTTTGCTTAAATATGATTTTCAGTGTGAATAAATGCCTTCTAAAGTTTTCTGAATGACATTTTTCCATCATAAAATGTAGTTTTCCTAAGTAAAATTAATACATTTTGAAATAGTTTTTAATTAGGCTGTATAGAGGCCTAGCAAATACATTCTTTTCTTTCTTTTTGCTCATCTGTTGCATAGCCATCCTCCTGTCTTCCACTGTACCCCCCAGTTACTCTGAGCCCTGCTGATTTGGCTTAATTATTGGAGTGATGGAGGTGGGAACTGGGGACTCAGTAAGCAAATTCAGTGACAGGTCTTCTCTTTGATAAGACTAGTACTGACCAGTCTGTAAAACCTGTGTGAAGAGAATGCAGACAATATAGACAGTCACATGTAGAGGCTTCTTAATAAGAGCCTGCATCAAGATGCTTTTCTAGCAGGGAAAAACTGATGCCTTAGTTCCTACAACAGTGGCAGAAAGGACTTGCTACTGGCATTGCAGAAGCAAAGACATTCAGAGCTATTGTGTTTCAAATAAGTGTGTCTCATAGCTCAAACCCAGTATCTGGATACTGAGCAGTAATGCTGCTTGATACATGCAGTAAAGCATGAAATAGGGTTGGGGACAGCAACTCCCCTGCCTTAGAAGGGACAGTAGAGTAATAAATGACAGCTTGTATAAATGGCATCTCTACTAGTATGCATTGATGTAATTAATTTTTTTGCCATTTCTGTCATGCTGTATTGGCTTCTCTTGTGAATGATTCATCTGCAAATTTGGCAACTGTATTCTAGTGGCCCAACTTGCATTTTCAATGAGATGTGAGAGACCTTTCAGATCAAGTTTCTATTTTTAAAGTTACTGGCAAAAATCTCTGCCTGATAAATTCCCTATATTCGATTTGGAATCATTAAAAAAATGATTGGAACCATTTAAAAAAAATAATATAATGTTAACTGGTCAGGTACTGACCTCTAGAACATGTCTCTAATCTTGGAATAAATATTTTGTTGTTTTATGACGAGAATTGACAAGAAACAAGGCCAGAAATAGCTTTTTCCCCCTATTAGTCCACCGGGTGCTTTTTCTTGGGGAAAATTTACTGTGTCAGTAACTTGCTTTTACAGGCTTCCATAATTGTCTTTTGGGTGAATATAGTAGCAAGACCTCATCACCAATTAACTGTTTTAAGATGTTTCACAATTGCAGCAGAGCTGTGCTCCATGTTTGTTGGTAGCAGGTTTGAGCATCTCTTAACCATCACTTCATTCCAGTCCTGTGGAATATGCTTTGACTACTCTGTGTACTACTGGCCCATAAAATTACTATGCTGGCCTTTATATTCTCTCTTGCTAGCTACAGAGGCAGTGGAAACACCAATCTTTTCAACTCACTTATATGTATTACATTATTAAAAAATATTCCCAGCGCTGATTCAAAACCCTCTTGCTATGCATAAACTTGTGTTTTTTTTTTTCAAATCCATATTTGTATTTTCTTCTTGTCTATCTCTGTGAGCTGAGATTTTTTTTTTTCTTCTTGTTTGTTGCATGTTGTTTCAATTGAATGCCATGTCTTTGGACTAGTAGATTTCTGGGTTTTTTGGGGGCTAGAGGATTTCTGTATTTACAAAGCATGATGCGATCCCAAAACTGAAATGAACATATGAGGTTTAGCATAATAGAAATTATTAATGGTACTGAATTATGCATAATTGTTAGCATTAATGTTGCAAAGAATCTGACAGGGAATAGAACTAGAAAGGAAATAAAGAGGGAGAAAATATGAGTGACAGTGAGAGACCATGGAATGTTACTGAAAACATTGCCTTTTAGGAGGCAAATTAGATTAGTGTGTCTACTGCTAGACAATTCTGTTAATTTTTGTGTGCTTAATTACCTAAAAGAGTAGAGGGATTTTGGAGAAGAGCAGCAAAAGTAATTAGGTAGATGTATGGGGGAAGGTTACAAGTGGTACGGGTAGGAGCACAAATCTACAATTAGCTTGAATATGTAAATAGCATAGGGGAAAATGACTTTGTATTACATTAGTTAAATGTAACTAGAAATTAAACTGAGTTTTAAATGCAAAACACATCGGTCTGTCACAGCATAATCACAGTATATTGCAACAGGCTAATCCTATTGTAAAGTGATGGGAAAGGGCTACTGTTATATTGTAGTAGCAGCCATGTTATCACTTTGCTGATCACCAAAGTGTGTCCTGAAATACCTGCAATGACAGCAGGGGAGTGAGAATGAGATAACAGAACAAATCAGCCAATTTTTCTGCTTAAAATTTTGTTACAGACATTAGAACAGCTTCAACATGTATTTTTGGATGATAGTGCTCGGTGCACAAATACTGTTTTTACAATGTATTGTCAGATTTGGATATTTAACTTGACTTAATTTTAAATGCAAAATGAACTGATTCTTTTGTGATTGAGATGCTATACCTGGGATTGCCAGTGTCCCCATAATGTGTACCAGATCTTTCCCTGCACAGCTTTTAAAAACAAAGAGTAGGGTGGCAAAACTCTGAAAAGCGCATCAGGTGTGTTTTTATTTTACTGTTGTGATTTTAATGGTTTTTCTTGATAGAAGCAACAGTGCTGCCCAAGTCAGGAAACTCCAGCAGTCATGCCTCTTGCAAAATGAAACAAAAAGCAGCAGATATGAAATCTTTCAGCTTGTGCCATATGCAGAACAAAAGCAGGCTGAGTATCCCAACTTCTTCTTTGTGACATGTTCATGCTGAAGTGCAGAGAAAATGGTATGTCATGACATTGGTATGTGGAAGGCCATGCCTGTTTATTTTTAGGCACCTAAACACTTGCAGGAACTTCTGGCTTAACCTTTATATGCTGCTTGGCCTTCTGAGGGCTGTAAATTTGCAGCAGTGTTATTGCTATATTTGAAGTATTCTTTGAACAGCTTATGTATGTAAGAAAGAAAGGCACTCATTTACTGTGGTAGCATTAGTGCGGGTGGTGGCAGATGTAGTCGAGTGCCGCTACTTCCAGAGACTAGTAAAATGCCTAAGCACTCATTTGTATGGAAGTTATGAATATAAACCTCATTGTATCACAGAGAGTAGTGATTGAACAGTATGTGAAAAGTAGTAGTACACACAGGTATTCCTTCCCATTCAAGAAACAAAAAGAGAAAAGGTGCTCAAGTGGTGTCATGAGTGTCTGTCAGTCAGTGCTGCAAAGAAAATGGATTCTTCTCCCCACCTTTGCTTCTGTTCCATTAGGGATTGCTTCCTTTGCAGCCAGAACTATTGCATTTGACCTACATGTGTCTTGAGGAAATAACACTACTGTAGATTAATGTAAATGGGACAAATTCCTAACCTCTTAGAAGACAAAGTCAAAACCAAGGAGGTTGGGATTTCAGAAGTCACAGAATGGCTGAAGTTAGAAGGGTCATCTGGTCCAAACTCCTACTCAAGCAGGCCACCAGGAGCATATTGCTCATGGCTACATCCAGATGGCTTTTGAGTATCTCTGACAGTGATGACTCCACAACCTCCCTGGGCAGCCTGTGACAGTGCTCTGTCACCTTCACAATAGAAACATGTTTCCTGATGTTCGGAGGGAGCCTCCTGTGTTTCAGTTTTTGCCTGTTGCTTCTGCTCCTGGGCATCACTGAGCAGAGCCTGGCTCCATCTTCTTTACTCCCTCCATCAGATATTTACACATATTGATAAAATCCACCTGAGCCTTCTTTTTTGAAACCTAAACAGTCTCAGGTCCCTCAGCCTTTCCTCATAGGAGAGATGCTCCAATCCCTCGATCATCTTTGTGGCCCTTCATTAGTCTCTCTTCAGTATGTCTCTTTTACTGGGGAGCCCAGCACTGAACCTGGCACTCCAGGTGTGGCCTCACCAGTGCTGAGGGTAAGGATCATGTCCCCAGACCTGCTGGTAACACTCTTAATGCAGGCTAGGATACCATTCACCTGCTTTTCATCAAGAGCGCATTGGTGGCTCATGTTCAACTTGGTGTCCACCAGGACTGCCAGGTCCTTTCCTAAGGATAGAAAATTTCTGTGGAAAGGCAGTTACATTAGTACTGTAAAGGCAGAGTCCTCAATTTCTACCTAGAGAGGTGGCAGGCACATTGCTGAACTCTTTGAGCTATCTGAACAATTTAAGCAAAGAATTCTTTTAAAATAGAGACATTCAAGTATTGCATTCACTGTTTCCATAAATGTGCTAAGAAGAGAAAACCTGAAATATAAAGAATATAAAAATTCAAATATAAAAAATGTGTACATTTGTCTGGCATGTTCATACAGGAAATTCCATTTAAGCATAGGGAAGAAGTTTTTCATTGTGGCAGTGGTCCAATATTGAATCAAGTTGCCAGAGATATGGAGTCTCTGACTTCATAGATATTCAAAACCTGATTGGATACAACCCTCATCAACTTGCTCTGGCTGATCCTCTTCTGAGCAGGGCGTTGGACTAGGTGATCTGTAGAGGTGCTGTCCATCCTCAGCTGTTCTGTGATTCTGTGTTGGCTCAATCTAGATCGCAGTATATTTGTATAGAAATTTCTTCTTTTCCAAGCTATCCACAGTTTTTAAAAAAAAAATATTGAGAGAAAATGGCAAAGACATCCTCATGGAAATCAGTGGTTTAAAAGAATTAAATAATAGATTGACATTGAAAAGAACGAAAGAAATGTTGTCAGACTGCTGGTTTATTTCTGTAAATTCCCCATAGTCTTCTAATATAAAGACTTGATATATAATGTATTTTTATTCCTGTAAGTGCTCTTTGTTGTCATTCTTTGTTTTACTCTCACTTGTTAAACTTGTAGAAGTTTAATACATTTGATCATTCATAGGTTCACAGGACACACCAATGTTTATTCATATATTCTAATGCACCATTTTACCTCTTTCAATTTCTTACTGTTTAACATTAATAAACACATTTTTTACTCATTTCCCCAGTTTTGTAGATGGTTGAATGAGTAGCATAAATATTTTCCTTTATGTGATTTCATGAAATGTGTACTCAGAGCACTTTCTATATGTCCTATTACTGCAAATATATGCTGAAGGGAATTTCATGTTCAAGGAGTCCACCAAAACCTGCCTGAAGTACATAAGGGAGCTTTTCTTTTTGGTTGAGGGCAAGCATTATCCTGTAATATTGATCCGTCAGTTCTGGAGACATACCATTAGCACTTTTATTTGAAGACCTTTTTAATGGGTGCTCCAGTGATACTCTCACCTAATGTGAGCTCAGTTTTTTTCAGTCAGGTTGAAGGATGTTTTGGGACTTTATGACTTGTAAGGATACTAAGGGATGTAATGGGTTGAAGACAAATGGGAGAGTGTAGGAAGGACTGCTGATTGTTTTTAGACATCAGTCCTAGCAAATGAAGAGCATGAATCTTCAGTTGTAAAGGGGGGTATTGGACCACAGGTGGAGTTGGTTTTGAACTGTTACTACTTGAGAATTGAATGCAGTGGTAAATAAAACCCCTTTCCTCTCACCTGGGTGTAGTAAGTGTAAGGATCTCATGTTGCTGTTTCATTCTCTGAAGTAGCTTAATCCAATGACATTACTGTGGCTGTAAGAAGCAGATACTTTGAAACTGTAATCCTTGCTTTGGGCTTCACTCCTCTGGTATCTCTTTGTCAGGTTATTCAGCCTTGATGCTTCAGTTTCTTTTTTTGTAAAAGTTTGAAATTAATACCTTTTCTACCTCATAGAGTGTTCTAGGTTTACTAGTTGGCACGTAGTGTTCTCAAGATGTGTAGCTGAATGAAAGAATTTGTGACATTTGAGTGTTTGTGTTTGTGCAGAGAGGTCACAGTCATAAGCATGCTCTCAAGAATGTTTTGATTTTTTTTACATGTGTCTCTGTACAAGCCTAATGTAATAGAATATAGGTTTTAAAATACTGTAATAATAATTTAAAAATAATTTGTACTGCTAAATGAAGGCTTTGTATTTTTTCTTATTTTCTATGGTGAACATCTGAGCACAAAGGCATGATTTTCCTGTTTTATTACTATTGCTCTTTTTACTGTGACCCCTGATCAACTGTAATTATGCTTTAAATTGATGTTCCTGTCCATGCAGTGGGCCTGATTTGTCATGGCTTGCACAGACCTCTCTTTCTATACACAGTGAGTAAAAGAAAGCTGCCAATTTTGTTTGAGAGCATTTTTAGAAATGCCCTTCAAAAACGTAGCATTGTAAACAAGTGACATGGCTATGGACAATCAGGTCTAGTAAAAGCTGGACGTAGCATTCATACTATTCTTTGCAGATAAACCTGAACTATAACTTCCGTTGTTATTTTTGCCTAGGAACTGTGAGAATGTGTTATCAGCTGAAGACTGTGAAATGTTATACCAGTTTGTTTATACCACACACCGTCCACTTGCAGTAGCAGCTGGGGAATTCCTTTATAAAAGGTATCTCTGCCTGCCTACTTCTTGCATGTTCTCATTTGTTTCGGAATTAAGGTGGATTTATTTAAGGGGGACATTAAGCATTCATTTTACTGCTGAAAGTGCTGAATCAGAAGAAAAAAGCTGTCTGGGGGTAATTGCATGTTTCCGTGCACAGCCCTGGCACAATAGCATGAGAAAAGCAGCAAGACTAACATGGAGAATATGAAACTACTAACTGATCCACAAATGCCATACTATGTTGAGAGCATGCCCTCTTTCTTTCCACTTTCTTTTCTTGTTGCTTTGCTTCTTACAAACTAATCTGTCACCTGATATCTGTGGTTTTCCACAGCTTTGGTGATTAATCACAAAAATGGCCTCCTCCCTTTGGAAGTTGCCTTATACTTTGAATAATGAGAGAGGCAGCAGATTAAAAAGCCCTCCCAATTTTCTGTCAGTTTAATGAAGTACAGGGTTTATCTTCCCCAGGAGTAACTCTTATAAATGGGCAACAATGGTTGCATGAAATGAATGGAGTTGGTGAGCTAAAAGAGAAGAGATAAATATTCTGACTCTACAGCTGAGAGAAATAATTTTGCCTTACAAAAAGGATTTAAAAAAAATATTATGGCAAGAATTTTGTGGGGAAAAATTCAGAAATAATAATTGTGTTTCCACACATGCACAATCCCCTCCTAGTTGGCTTTTCCTGTCTAGCTGAATTGTTGACATTCTTGAGTTTGTGGAGCCAAGTCCAGCAGAAAGACAAATGGAGATAAATTTCTGTTTTGACAAGTCTGCTCTCACATCTGCTAGACTTAGTCTTTTGTGTTGGTCCTAATATTCTCTCATAAATCAGGTGTTTTTCATCTCAGAACTCTGCTGCTTTTTATCATCAAAGTGATTTGCCCTAATAACTTTACTTCTCAGCTGGCCAGTGCAGTTTGGTCACCTTGACCCTGTAAACCTCATCCTTGCGTTTGTTTGCCCAGTTCTTCTCTCCAGCACTTCTACCAGTATAGAAATGTTCATTCTAGTGTCCTAGAGATGTTAGTGACACTCTCCTTTCCCCTGGTCATACTGTTTAAAGTGTTAGTGTAAATGCTTATGCTTTCCACCCCCACTGCCCCTACTTCTTGGTTTGCACAAAATCTCCTCAATGTCTGCATATTTTAACTTAGGTTACTTAGTTGGCATAAATTATACCAGCAGAAACACTTCCTGAAAGTATAAGCTTTTACTGATGTTTAATAATGTGGTCCAGCTCTTAAATCCAAGACTTTTGGGCCTTGCAGTAATCTGGGGGGTTGGCTTTCCTGTAGTTATTTTGGGATTAGCACTTTTCACGAGCAGCACAGTCACAGCCATTGTGGAGAAAGGGGGAAATGGAAATTGAAGTGTCATACTGTGCTTCATACTGCAGACAGAAAAGGAAGAACAGATTTTCCACTATATTTATGAATATAGTGGAATAAATACAAGATACTGTGCTTTCTTTAAGAAGGTGCAGTTCCAAGATGTACTGTGATGTGAATAATGGCTGTATAGTAATATCTCATCTCTGTTGCTAAGGTTTAAATTTGACCTGGAGCAAACCCCTTTTCAAGCATGAGCAAATGCCTACCTTGTTATATGATCAGTTCTGTGGAATCTGCATCTATTGTCCAGAAAGTTGGCAGGGTACCTGTGAAATTATCAGAAATAGTCTCTGCATCCACAAGGATAGCAGATCTCTCATAATGGAAAACTATCTACTCTCTTTTCCTTTCATCTGGTAAAAAAGTCTAATATTATTTGGGGTAAATAAGTAGACACTTAGGAGGAATACAGTTTGTGGGATCTTGACAGAATTAGTGTTACATTGCCAAATGAGTATAAGGAGAGTGTGGCAGAACTGGACTGACCTCCTTTTCTGTTGGCAGGCTGCTTATTTCTGAGGGAGGTGAAGTTCAGCCCAAAGGAGGAAGAGAGTTTGGGGCAAGTACTGACCAGTTGAAAAGATTAATACACTTTTTCCTGGAGAGTGAGGTGAGGAGAATAGACCCTGCAGTAAGCATTTGAAATCCAGCATTGCATATTAAATTAAGTATTGGCTTCCTTTTGAAAGCAATTTCTGGTGGTGAGCTCTGAAATGTTTGGTGTTTGGAATGTTTTTTCTCTCTAGGTTAAGTTTTTAATTAAGACATTTCTGTTCTGTATTAAAACTAATTTACAACTATGCTAATGGAGAGAATCAGTGCTGAAGCAGTTTCTGAAAACAATCTGAAAGACCAATGCCACTGAGTGAGGGTTTTTTGATCTATGTCCATGTCTTTCTGCAGGTGTGTATGCCTTATTGTACCATGACTTCATGCTCCATTATCAACTTATGTGCTGTATTTCACTATTTACCTTTTGCAGTGGTGCAGGCCTGTGTCTGGCCAAAGTGTCTCGGGCATAGCAGTTTTGAATTTTTCTGCAAAGAATTTAATCGATAACTCGTTTCTAGTCCTATGACTTGGTTTTTAGGTATTATGATCAGCAATATAAGAGCAATACAGAAACTAGTTTTAAGGAGATTACTTAAAAGGTATCCTAGAAAGAGAAAATATTTTTTCCCGCTTTTCCTGCTTTTTTTCCCCCACTTTCCTTCTTTGTATCAGATTGAAGACATGTTTAAATATTGATTAACCTCAAACAAAATATGTTAGAATAGTCTGTGTGAATATATGTGTGAATGACAAAGCTTTGTCATTGGAAAAAGGGAGAGGAACATATGAAACTGTATTTCTTTTGTTGATGTGTTTACTTCTGTAAGCTTATGTTTTTAATCCCTAGCTACACAAACACGTTGCATACCTTATAGACAGCTTATGGGACTGGGCAGGCAAATTTCTGAAGGACTGGGAGTGCATGACAACTCTTCTATTAAAAAATGCTGAAGAAGATGGAGAAGGTGGGTAAGCAGAGAGCTTTGTTGTTTCTGAATGAATCTCTCCATACTGTTTTTTGAACCTTGCCTTAGCTAGTTTAGGATCATTTCATATTGCTGTACCATTTGATCCCAAATTGTGGCCCCCAGGTGTCACAAAAGCAGATGCAACTCAATGCATTGCCAATGTAATATTTATCTCAACACATTTGTTTTATTCAGTATTCTGTATTTATGTAATGTTAGTTTAGAAACAATTGCTCAGATAAATGAGTAGGCTGCTGCTTCATCTTAATTTTTATTTTCTGTGATGCTGAGACTGATTTACTTACAGCACTGAGCGATGCCGAGGAAAGTGCTCTCATTGAAATTATCCTTGCAACGGTTAGAGAAGCAGCTGAAGGTCATCCTCCAGTGGGCAGAGGTGCAGCCAAAAAAGTCAGTGCATCTTAGTCTTATTTATTCTCCTGTAATCACACTCTCTTTGCCTTATGATCTTTGCCAGATAGCATGTTCCTAGTTGGAGATGCATCTTAGGAAATAAAATGGTGTATTTTTGTGAAATGACGCAGTGTCTTTTGACCTCTAGATCTTATTAGAAGTGGATGTTGAAGGATATGAGCATTAGAGGAAAGCCACTTGAAGCTTGTTATTGACAAATGATGAGCATTTTATCCATGAGATATAGCTGTACAACGATTTGCATCTATTTTAAGGTTAACAAACAAAAAAAAATAAAGCATCTGGTTTTCTCCATGGAAAAGTATCTTTATCTTAGCTTGATATTCTTGAGACAATGCCATATGAGTTAACCTTGGGTTAAATGTAAAATTCTACTCAAATCTCAGAGATTTTGTAATTGAAACAAAATGGTTTATTTGCAGATTCTGTCAGTAAAAGAGAAGAAAATACAATTGGAAGATTGTACCAAAATTACTGAACACTTTATTATGGTGCTTCCTCAGCTCTTGGCAAAGGTAACTAACAGCTGCTCTGTGAATGCATGTTAAATATTTCATTAAAATTCCTGCAGTATACTCATATCCTGTTTTTTTCTCTGCAGTATTCAACAGATGCACAAAAAGTGGCAAATCTTCTGCAGATTCCTCAGTATTATGATTTAGATGTTTACAGTACAGGACATCAAGAGAAGGTGAATAGCAATTGGGGTAATTGGTTCACGTGGAATGTGCTAAATTTATGTGGCAATGTCGAGAGTTTAGTGGGATTCGGAACAAGTAGGAGATGGTTGAAATACAAAGAAATGTCTCATACCATAGGGGAAATGTTCTTATTCAGGCTTTAGTTTTTTATTTGAGGCTGTCAAAGAAAAGCCATGGTGCTTGTCAGTTCTGATATGCTGTGACTGGCTCTGGTGGGTGGTGGTTTGTGGTTTCGTGTGGTAGGCCCGGCACTGGGTTTTTTCATTGCTGGGTGGAGAGAGGGTGGGTTATGCTGTGTGTCTAAGTTGGTGTCTCCCAGGAGTTTACTATAGAATAGATTTCATTCTCCTTGAAGGCTGACTCCCAGCTGCTGGGGGATGACAGTAACTGAAAGATAAGAATGGAGATAGTATATCTGCTGATGGGAAAGGCATGGTCAGAAATGGATAGATGAAATCTTTGAAATAGCTTAATGTATTCTTAAACAGGAATGTTTACAGGGAGGTAATGTTAGGCAAACACGCCTAGGTTAATTTCAGCACGAACTGTTAGCTGGAAGAGAGAGAGTCAGCAGAACAGCAGAAGTTACCTCCTCTCCCTGGGAGTGAAGACCCCAGTTGCTGACATGATCCGAAACATTCTCCATCCTCCACTGCTAAGGGAGACAACTTTCATTGTTTGGAGACACACCTGTTCTTTGGAAAGGCATACTTTATTCCCTGCCCTTTTTCTTCATGTAGTGTTAAACACATATTGCTGAAGTAGCATATAAAGCAGTTGCTTCATTCTTTAGGAAGATCTAGAGACATAATAATGAAAAAGAACTATAAACACAGAAAAAAAAAGTTGTATCCTCTAATCCTGCCCCTCTGCTCCTTAGACTGGCATTTGGTTATAAGACTGCATCTTGGTTATATGACCTACAGGGATATATGGGCTTAGTGAAATGATTTAAAGCATAAGTGGATTTCTGTACAATTTACCTACAATACCCTTTTATTACCTGCAGCATTTGGATGCTTTGCTGAGAGAGGTAAAAGACATTGTGGCCAAACACTCTGACATGTCTGTCCTCGAGGCTTCCTCCAGGACTTATTATATCCTCTGCAGTGAAGAAATTGGCATTTATAGCCAGGTGGATTGTGCTCGAACTCAACTGATAGATGAGTTGATGGAACAGCTTAACCAGCTACTAGATGGCTTCTGGCAAAAGGTGAGTGTGACTCACTGTGGAGGTAACCAGACTGTTTCATTATGAAAAAAAAAAAAAGGGAGACAAAAAAATAAAGGGGGTTACGGAACTGTTCTCTGCCTGCTATTTCTGCTTGAAGGGAGCAGAACTTTGAAAGATGGGTTTGCACCTCTGGAAAGATTGGTTGTTCATATTTTAATGAAGCAGATATATTTTTGCGGGAATAGAGTGAGGAAAGTTATAAACAAAGTAGTCCACACCAGGAACAGGGCATTTTATGTCTTTTGGTAAGCTTTTATTGGACACTGATATTGTAAATTGTGTCAAGCCAAAAAATCCCCTAACCTCAGATTGGAACTATTTTGTTGATCTGTGTCAGTGTGGGATAATGTGTACTTAGGAGAAACAAAATAAGTTCCAGACCAAATATTCTGGACCTAAGCTCTATAGTTGCTTTATAATTACTCTAATACTGTGCCAAAGAAACTATGGCAAGATCAGCTACTAAGTGCTGTGTATCTATAGTGATGAGACTGTTCCCAAAAGGGTGTGTTTCTGTACTTCTATATATTTGACTGTACACAAGATGCCCTTTGTACTGTCACTTTGGCTGTATGGGGGAACAAAAAGTAAACAGCAGTCTGTAGTGCAGATTTCATAGCTTTGGGGGTCTTTGAAATAATGACTTTCCCCTTGAAGGAGGATTGCAGAGTCTCCCTCAAAGTTTTTCATTAGGTCTAAAAAGCAGAAACAGCTGGTGGTGATATGAATAGCTTGCTGGCTGAACTGAACAACAGAAGCCTGCAGCTGATCTGATCAACTGTGCCGTCATGAACAGGTGTCATGCCATGGTATGAGAGTTAACACTGGCAGGTTTTTATTGGACACTGGGATATTGTAAAATGTGTCAAGCCAAAAAATCCCCTAACCTCAGATTGGATTAATTTTATTGGCCTTAAATAGAGATCTATGTCAATGTGGTAGAATGTGTACTTATGAGAAACAAGATAAGTGCTAGACCAGGGATTCTTCAACTCCCCCGTAGCGTGATCCATATCTAAATAAAGAGATTTTTCTCCTGGAACCCCTCCCTTCTAATTCCTGGTTGTATATATCGTCCCCCAGAATCACATAGTATACTTGTGGAAACTACAGCAATTGCATCCATGGGAAAGTATTTCATATATTTTTAGCTATCTTTGAATGTGATCTAGCAGCTGGAAGCAAGGAAGGTCAGCACCATGTGAACAGTTAGCTTTCTAGAGATCCTTAATAACTGTGTGAAGGACCATGTTAACCTAATTGCTAGTTTTTACTCTGTGTTAGCAATACTGCAGTCTAGGGAGGCTTCCATGGGGTTATTAATGACAGAGATGTTTCCTTATAGAAAATTTCTGTGCGGTTATATTGTTTTGTTTTTACTGTAGAGGAAGACATGAGTAAGGTGGTTAAAGGTGAAGGTACATGGGAGGGCTGGAGGAGAGTGATTCAAGCTTGTGGGTTGGTTGGGAAGAGAACATAGTAGTGCCCTTTCCTTTCTCTGGCTAATTGCTTTGTCTTTCCCAAACTTTCATGATTTAGGAAGGAGAATTTTGTATGGATGCAGGAGCAATTTCCTGGATGAACTCTGCTTTGAGAAGAGTAGCAGCTTTTCATAAGTGAGATGTTTATTTACACAATTTACATTCCCATATACTTAAAATGTTGACCTTACACATGCAAACTGAGAATTGCTTTTTGGGTTTAATAGGTTTTTTTGCATAGGAATGAAACGCTCTGTTTCTGCAAAGAGAAGTCTAATGTTGAGTGTGAATACTCAAGGTTGCGGTGTTAGATCATGAAAACATACTTTTCCACCCTTATATTTAATATTTAGTTGTTTAATGTTATTATTCTACATCATCTGAAGTCGAAAATAGGATACATTTAACCTGTTTGGTCAGGCAAGACTCCATTTCTTGCTTAGTGTATCATTATAATTAGTTTTTCACTTACAGTGCCCATGATCTCACCAAATGGAATCTGTATGACAAGACTTTAAGGTTCCTGGTGTTTGAAATGGAACATGGGAGTTTGCCTGTTCTGGTGAGTTGTTAATATTTAACAATGAAAGAGGTTTTTCTTGATGAAAGCACAAAAAATTAGAAAATATTAAATAATCTTATATATCAATGTCCTATGAGGCAGGAAGATACTGTTTCCATTTCTCAATCCTGGACACTGAGGCTGTCTTTGGTATAACATTATTGTGATCTGTAAATTCATGCCTTTATATTAATTTATTTTGAAGATTGTCCAGAACTGTGATAATCATCTGGCATCTGGATTGATCTTTTGTCATGTTCAGTATTTCTAATGATTGCACTGTTTCATTTTCAGTACATATGGAATTGTTGGGACTGTGAGGACCCCTTTTTAGATTGCATGTAACCAGAAATTGGAATACTTTGGACCTGTTGCTTACATGTTGACTCTTGGTGTAGTGGTTTGTAATTACCAATTGTCTCAATGGCAGCCTTTTGGTTGTCTGATTGCCTCAACTCAAGCGTTGTCTGTGCCAAGATGGAGTTCTTTATTCTAGGATTACAAGGTGAAATACTCTAGGAGTTCTCTCCCTGTTTTCAGGAGAGAAATGGAAGGGTTTTTTGGGAAAAGGTGAAATTTAGTTGAGTAGAGAGAGCCTGCAGCCAGTAGGTAGGGTGGATTCCTTTAGATGGAGCATTGGAGCACCAAGATTTGGCTTTGCTCAGAATTGCTCTCTGGAGTAGTCCTGCCTTTCATCAAAGACTGCAGAGAAATCATGAGAAGCTAAGCTGAAGTTAACCTCTGTGAACACACTTTTGGTACGTGGGTTACTTTCCTTGAACTCATCAAGATGTCAAAGAAGTTCTGAAGAAGCAGCACCTTAGTAATGAAGTGTCTCAGGGGGCAGTGTTTGCTTGTATGTAAACCTATTATGTTAATTTTAAGGGACTAAGTACAGTTGAGAAATGGTTGTGCAAGCAGCATGCAGAATGTCAGGGTTGAATGCTTTGTTTAGTCCTAAACATTTTGCTGTTGAGCCTTTCATGTAAATAAAGGACATGTGTTTTTATTTTCAGATTATCCTGCCAGCTCTCCAGTGCACTTATTTTTCTCTCCTGTGGCAGCTATCTGCAGTTTCAGAAAATTCTACCAAGGTTGGCTGCTCACCTAACTTTGAAACCCAGTGTTGTGCTTCTGGAAGTTTAAGTTACTTTTCCTGTTCTCAGATTGCCAGAAAAAAACAGGCTTTATAAGAAGATAATTTGTGTGTTTTCTTGAGGAAACCAAATTGTGTTTATGCTTTTTCAGTCCGCAGGAGAATAAGTGAACAATGGTTTACCTCTTTTTTTACTACAAAACATGTGCATTGAATTCCAGGGGCTTGATGGAGATAAAGAACTTGTTTCACTGCCAAACAGTTTGTTGTTTTCTTGTTTTAAGCAACAAAGAATATTCAGTGAAAACTCCACAAAGTCCTGTTGCTTTTTTTTTTTTTTTTTTTTTTTTTTTGCTTCTTTTAATTTACATATTTCTGGCAGAAGGTTGAGGAAAGGGGTAATTTTTCTCCTCAGCTGACAATTTACTTTTGTAATTGATTTTATAAAGTGCCAAGCTCTGGCAGGTATTTCAGAAGACAGTCTAGCTTAAGACACCAAAAAGGAAAACTCTGTTATGCATTGGTTCACTTGTGAATATGTACCTATGGGACTGCTCTTCATGGTGATTTCTGACTACACTGAGTGCTGCTCCTTCTGCCATTCTGTCCCCTTCCCTGGTGCTCCTGTGCATATACAGGACAGGACGCTGACATGGACATGTGTTTTGTGTGAGAAATGCTAGCTGGGAGATTACCCATTTGGCGACTGATTCACTGTCTATTCCTGTCCCATTCCATTCCTGTGTGGATGTCCACATCTCTCACTGCTCTAGTATGTTCTGACTTTCACTCCAGACACAGTTAGCTTAACTGGTAATGGGGCAGCACATTTTTTAATTTGGCCTTTCATACGGGAGCAGATTTTGATTGGAAGCACCATGTGACAGCCCACTCTGCAGGGCCAAGTCTGGATGTTGCCCAAAACCCAACCATTTCCTGAACAGCAGCTCTAGGACTGTTACTTCCCCCTCGCTCCTCCCCCAGCAGTGTTAAGGCAATGTATAGCCCCTCCCCTGGTTCTCCTCAGCATGTCCTGGGATGGATCCCCTTTCTTATAAATGTACAGTTGCATAGCATGAAAGCCAGCCCTCTTGTAAGGGCATTCCTCTTACATTGAGAACTCAAAGCTCAGTGTAGTGCAGCTGGGACCTGGTGGAGGATCAGAAAGTCTTTTGTGTGGCTCTAGGCAAACAGTCTCTCATGCTCAATTCAGCTTAGCAAACAGAGGTGTCTGAAGTTTCTGAGTGCCAAAGTTAAACTCCATTCCCTCTGTAGTCAATAGAGAGGGGGAGAAAAGCAACTCCAGAAGGCAATGAACACTGAAAATTAGGTGGGATAGACCTGACTCTACTTCCATTGTTACCACTGCTTTAAAAGGATAAGATGAAGTGAATAAGGGAATATGTGCTGCCCACCCTACAGATTGAGAAACAAAGAGTTTGTGACCTGCTGAATACCACTGGCTTCAGCAAGTGTGACAGATGCAGTTGTTCATAGCTAGTAAGATGTTGTACCATGAGATGTCAGCTTCTTTCATAATGTTATCAACTGTGCTATCTTAAATGAATAATATGAGTGGAAGAAAGATGCAACTATTGTTTATTCTGTAATTCTCTGTTGAATCATAGTCCCATGCATGCTGATCCTTTCACCTTTCCTAAATATGTTTTTAGGAGACTCTTTTTCCACTAAGAAGGGAGCTGAGACGTTTCAGTCAGATTTGCACGTGCTTCCTCCAACATAAGGAAAAAGATGTAAGAGAAAAGGTTTGTGTTTCTCTATCACTTAACTAGCATTCATGCTCAGATCTCCTTTTAAGTGCCTGCCATTCGTTTCATACTGGTATTTCCTTCTACTGATTTTGCTATGTTTTTGTCTCTTAAAAGAAAAATAACTCTTTAAAAAAACAATCTTTAACTATTTATTTTAAAGAAAAATTAAACTTATGTTAGTTAAATACTAAAAGTTTGTGCTTTAGTCAAGCATAGATCTGTGTCTCCATGGGTCCCTCTGCAGAATCAAGGCCTGAATTTGAGTGATAATCATTGTGTTTTCTGATTAGACTGATCAGTGTACTGGTTGCTACCATTGCTTTATTAATGTCTTGCTATGTATATTACTTAAAAAATGTAGAAATTGTCCAGTGATTCATGGGTTAAAAAAAAGATATTCCAACATAATGGAGCTCTTCTTCTTTCCCATGGAAGTTTGAAAATCTTTAGGTGGTGTTCATACATGATACTTGTATACACTGCATCTCCTAAGGTACACATTTTGAAAGGGCTTAGCTGTGGCATTTCACCACAGCTGAGGCAAAGAGAAATCTTTAGTTTGCAAGGAAGAAGTGGGATGGAAGCTAGGCTGTGTTTGATGGAGAGGAAAGGTGGAGTTGGCATGAAAAGTAACACAGTCCTTCTTTGGCTTTGTTTGCTTGATACAGGTCTTCATGATACTCTGTGACTGGTTGCTGATTTTGAGTCATCAGGATTCAAATAATAAGGAAGAAGCAATTGGACTTCTAGGTTATCTTCCTAACACGTCACTTCAGGAAAAACTGTTTTTGTTTATCCGGGAACATGTTTTTGTGGATGAAGAAGAGGAAAGAAAAGGTTAGACATCTTAATCACCAGAGAAACAATCTACCACTTTTGCTATCATTTGTCATCTGCAGTGAATGTATCAGGAAAAGGGGCTGGCCTCTTTTTTTGTCATTGTTGTTTTGCGGGTTGCTTTGTTTCTTTTTTCTGGTTGGACCCCTTTACAGACAAAATGGCTGACCTGTTATTCATTGATCTGTACCATTGATCTGTGGATTAACCATAGGATATAGCTGCCAATTTACTTGTAGGATGAAAAGGGCTGAAGTAATGCAGGGATGGGTGAGAATGTAAAAGTATTTGGTAGACTGACTTTTGTGGTACAGATGATGGTATTAGAGGGCAATGTTGCAGTGTGGCTCTCTCAGTGTGTGGACCCTTTGAAGCCATCAAAATAAAGGATTAGTGGATTTTGATTTTGGGGCTGTGGGGCAGATTTTACAGAATCATAGACTAGTTTGGGTTGGAAGGGACCTTACAGGCCACCTGGCATGGGCAGGACACCTTCCATTAGACCAGGTTGCTCAGAGCCCCATCCAACCTGGCCTTGAACAGAGATGGGGCATTCACGAAGTTTCTGGTCAATCTATTGCAGTGCCTTACCATCCTGACAATCAAGATTTTTTTTCTATATCTAAAGAATAAATCTACCCTCTTTCAGTTTAAAGCCATTCCTTCTTGTCCTATCACTGCATGCCTGTGTACAAAGTCAAACACATTTGGAAGCTGTGTTGAGGTTGTAATTGTGAAGGCTGGTTTCTTTTGGGAGTGTTTTGAAAACAGATTGTTAGTTCATTGTGGTTCTGAGGCCAAGTTCAAGTGTCATGCTCTAAAAAATGCTTTTGTTTTCCTAGACCTGACAGAAGAGGAAGAGAAAAAGGATGAAAGTTGCAAACTTGATGACTTGCATAGAAAGCGGAGTCTTCTTGCAGCATATTGCAAGTTAATAGTGTATAATGTGGTAGAGATGACTGCAGCTGCTGAGATCTATAAGTATTACGTGAAGGTAATGTTTTAGATAAGATTGCTTTCCCTGTCAGTGCATTTTATTTTTTGAAAGTGACTCCAGTGTTTGTGAAAGATGTGGTGTTAATAGTGTTATGGCTCAGAATCCGTATATAATCATAAAAGGGCTATAAAATCAAGCAGGAGTAGGGCAAATCTCTTCCCTTGGCTCCACAAAGTTACCTCACTGCAGACAAAGCAACTGAAAATTGAGCAAAGAATATGTTTGCTCCTCGCATTCTCCAGAGAGACCACTGCAAAGAAGCAGTGTATGGTTGGGGAGTGTTCTAGATGGAGAGCTTCTCACACTGAAGCAGTCAAGTTACTTCACACGACTCACACAGAAGTTGGCCTACATTTCACCTGAGTCCAGGGTTTAAACAATTAGTAGAGCTTCAGCTACTCTGAATTGGGTTTCAGGAGGGCCGAGAACAAAATGGGAAGTCTCCCTGAGTCAACTAACAGAACTTTGGAAATACCTGAATGTGAATCTTGTTCTTTACTTTCTTGGCAGGCACTAGTTAAATACAGAAACCTCTCTTTTTCTCTCCCAAAGAGGCTTTGTTCTTTTGTTGTGATTAATACTTAATAATTTCAGTAAAACTTTAATCCTCACATTACTCTTAAAGGAGTATCCCATTGCTTTACGTATGAAATAATGTAAAAAGTCCAGTTTTCATCTTCTAACTTGTGTGTTCGGATATTGGGAGTGTTTTGTGAACTTCTTGTGTCACATGAACAGTCACATGTTTTGTGTACTTCCAGTGCTAAAGAAGGGTAATGATAATTCTCATTTGTTTTGTTGCTATTACTAGACCTACAATGATTTTGGAGACATAATTAAAGAACTGTTAAGCAAGATGAGACACAATAACAAAATGCAGAGTGCCAAGACACTGATTCTTTGTCTGCAGCAGGTAAGGTTATGATTAAAGTAAGTTACTAGGGGCACTTTTAACAGCTGTATTCATAGTGAAGATTTTTACCTACCGTGCCATAATTATTCATAATCATTAGAAAACCTAGTGAAAGAAATTATTTCCTTTCCTGCCTTTCTGTTTGTATGTTGTTTTTGCATGTCATAATTAAAACTCCTTTAAATTCATTACATCAATTTTAAAAGGTAATTTTGTGCTTGATTTTTTTGGTCATGATTTTAATCTTCAAGTATGTTAGAACTGATGTGAGATTATGAAGTGTTTCTTGGGATATGGTAAGTATTCTTTTAACCTTAATAAATGTTAAGGATATTGTGCTGTGTTTTATGGATTATCTAAGTTTCTGTTGAATTTGAGGAACCATGGATGTGCCTATGGCTGGTCAGCTCCAACCCCTTGTATTTTCAGCATTTTTTTCTGGAGAAAAGTGGGTTGCAGCTCTTCTGAAGGGTCTCAGTTGCTGTGGCTTGCAGCTTCTGACTGATAGCCAGTTAGCTATTCTAACAGCTGGTTTTTCCTGCTCTGCCCATGGCCAGAGCTGCTTGTAGCTTGGAGTCGTGCTGTAATCCAGAGAGCAGGCTCCTCCCAGAGGGTACTGATACATGAGCTTTGCTTATTTCACACCCATTGCCAGGGCTTAGATCTGTGAACTAGCCCTTGAAATCTGAGCTTAGATGAGGCTAAGCAGCATTTGGCTACATATATTCTGCTGACATAGTCAGGACTTTGTGTTTAGATATCACATAGACAACAGGCCCTTTTTGGCCTTTGCTTGACCTTGAAAGTTAATAGGTTGAAGAGAAGAAGCTACTTCCATATTCTGTTAGGAAAGAACCCCAAAGCCTATTTAGTTGGGGTCAAGATGTGCTTTTGACCCACTCTCAGAAATTGGACTATGCTGCTTTCAGACTTGCTGCTTTGTAGCTTTCTGCTACTCTGAAAGCCTCTCAGGCAAATTAGGCTTCTGGGGCTTAGTTCAGAAGTCCCAAGAGGAGATGGGGTCAGTGGAACCATCATCTTCAGGAATTGGTTCTCTGTTTATGCACATTGTTTTTTATTTTTATTTTTTGATTTGTTCCTGTCTGTTGAGCTCACCTGTGTCCTTTGTGTCAAGTTGGTGGTTGTTGTTCATTCATGCACTTCAGAAACAATTGACTAACCTGCTCTTTTGTAAGGCTTCTGTCCGTGTAAGGCAACTGTTGCTTGCTGTGCATGTCTCTCAGTCTTCCTGGTGCTCTGTTTGTCTGTTGGATTACCTGTGTTTGCTTATCTGAGACTTCTCTTGCAGCTGTTTCAGACACATGCAGAAAGCCAAGACAGCAGTAGTGGTGTGGACTTCTCCTCTGCTTCCTTTACAAACATCAAAGAACTTGCTCGTCGCTTTTCACTAACATTTGGTTGGGACCAAGTGAAATCTAGAGAATCTATAGCCATGATACACAAGTATGTGCCATGTAACATCATGTTGTCTGTGGTCATTGCTTTTGTTAGTTGTCTATTTTAACTGTTTTATTACTCTGTTCTTTTTTTTCTATTTTTTTTCTTCCAATAGGGAAGGGATTGAATTTGCTTTTCAAGGAGCTACTGGAGTAGATGGAAAATGCTTGCCTCCTAACTTGGGCTTTCTGTTAATCATCAGTGAATTTTCCAACAAGCTGTTAAAGCCAGACAAAAGACTAGTGTAAGTTAAGTTCTTGTACACCATCATACACAGTCTGTGACTTGTGTATCCCTGTACACAGGACACTTGAGCTTCAGTATGGCAGAATTTGCTCAAGGGCTTTTCAGAGACCTCTGAAATCATTCTGTCCCTGAGGCTGTTTGAGAGACACTTGTTGAATTTTGTAGTAGTAGTTATTTCAGGAAGAAACAGTGCATGGATCATTATTTTGTAATGATCTAATTCCACAGCTTCAGGCCTCAATTACGTGAATTCCATGGTGTATATTTGGAATATATGTGTGACATCTTCATAATGTGGATATTTAAATTCAAGAATTTTTTATTTACATGCAAATATGCCCTGATCAGTGGGCCCGTGTTTTACAGTGGTTTAAATATTTACATTTAATAAGAATGATAGCCTTATTTTGGCATCATGGGGCATTATATGTCTGAATGGAGAGATGTATGTCTCTTATTCCCTTCACCTGCCTCAGCTCCAGTCAATTTTCAGAAGGAAGTAACATTCTTCCTTCTATTTGACCTTTAGCATTACTTCCTTTCTCAGTGCTGCTTATTTTGGATCTGGGTCTCTGCATTTCAGTATTTTATTTATAGATACTGTAAACCCCAGGTATTTCCATTTTCCTGAGAGCATATTTGAAGACCTGGGAATGTAAGATGAAACATTAAGACACATCTGCCTTTTTGAATTTCTGAGCAAATCACTCCAGTACATGACAAGGAAAGTTTCACTTTTGAAAGAAAGTCAGCAGAAATGGAAAAAACCCAACTATCACATCTTGCTGAGCTCTGTGTTGCTCCTGTTCAACTTTGTCTTAAGTTGAAGGATAACTTTCATGGGGATCATCAACCAGGTTTTATGTAACATGGGTCAAGACTGGTAAAATGTCTACTTTCCTGTTACTTCACATAACACAATTTATTAACAATTGCTAGCTACACAGATAGTTCATTTGAAAACATTAATTCGAACCCAGAATGCAAAATGCAGAAGAAAAATAGCTAACATATACTGATTACAAACCCTGATAAACATAAAGGGGATAATCTATGGGTATTGGTAACTTCCTTTTCTATTCTTGCATTTTTCTCAGATGAGAATCTTTGAGATCTACAACTAAAACTGGTTTTCACAGAATCCATAGGATGTCAAGGATATCTTGTCCCAACCCTCCTGCCATGAGCAGGGACACCTTCCGCTAGACCAGCTTGCTCAAAACCCTATTCAGCCTGGCCTTGAACCCTTCCAGGGATGGGACTTACAGAACTTCTCTAAGCAATCTGTTCCACTGCCTTACCACCCTCACAGTCAAGAATTTCATCCTAATATCTAATCTAAACCCACTCTCTTTCAGTGTAAAGCCATTAAAAGCCTTGTCCTATCTCTATGTGCTCCTGTAAAAAATCCCTCTCCAGCTCTCTTGTAGGCTCCCTTTAGGTACTGGAAGGTGTTGTAAGTTGTGCCCAAAGCCTTTTCTTCTCCAGGCTAAACAACCCCAACTCTCTCAGCCTGTTTTCATAGGGAAAGTGCCCCAGGCCCCAGATTGTACAGTTTCTGTATAACTGTGTCCATATTGTATGGATTTTAAAGAACTATCATCATCTGTGGTGACACCCATGCAATAATTAGCTTTCTGTTAATCCATACTTGAAAAACTGTCATTTCATTTACCTCTAAGGAGTAGTTTCTAATTCAACAAGTGGAAAATATTTAATTGTTGATGTGGGCAAATTTAAAGCTAAATCCTGATTTAGCTAAACTCTGTTCCTAAGACTATATTTAACCTCTTGATCAGAGGATATGCTCTAGAAGTATATTCCTGAATGGGTTACATACATTCAGGTAGGTTTATTGATTGAAAAGTTTTGTGGGAAATACAGAATCTAGCAGAGAATGCACTTGACTTCAGTTCTTACTGCTTTGGACCTTCCCACTGCTGCTGGGAACAAATGGGAAACAATAAAAATCACAAGAGGGGAAATTGCAATTTATCCACAAGTACATTCATACTATGTTTCTAGAATAACAGTTTCTATTCTGGGAAGCCTAAAGTGCCTTGCAGGGGCTGGAGATTATATTTCCTCTTAGAAATATTTATGTTTATCTCTATCATAAATTATTGAATGGAATGTTTTAGGTCAACATGAACTTTTAGAAATAAACATCTGGTTATTTTCATTTTTCTTATTAATCATAGGATTGATGTTCAAGTCTGTATGTTAACATATGTGAACGTACCTGTAACAGATGAGATACAGAATATGGGCATTTGTTAGAAAGGGCTATATTTCAACACCATCAAAGTATATGGACTTCAGCCCTCTCCCCTGTAATTGCTTAGGCTGTAGCAGTAAAATACCTGACTTGTCAATTGCTCTGTACCACAAAATGCACACAAGAAATGAATTGCTGAATAGCAAGCAGCATGAAGGGCCTGATTCCTGAATCAGTAGGAGTCTTTCCATTAACATTGATAGCAGTTGGATTAGACTCTGAAACTGTAGTTACAATATGTGCTTGTTTGAAACCAACAAATTCCATTACCAGGGTTTCTTGATCCCTGGGGCCCCCCAAGGCCAGAAATTGTTTTGGAGACGGTGCTTACCCTGACCTCCTCTCAGCACTGGTTTTCTTGTTTTGCAAAGTGAATGAAATGTCTGATATTTTCCAGGCCACTCTCCTAATCACAAAAAGAATAATATACTGTACAGGCTGGCATTAGAACTGTCACTTCTGGTATTTGCTAAGGTGGGGTTTGTTTTAGTGACACTAGGCTTGATTTCAAAGTGATGAACTGTAGCTGAAATGTGGTGAACATCCAGTTTCTAATCCTAAATCAGACTTTGGCTTTCTTTTCTTATTGTTATGAAGTAGGAACGGGTCAGAAAGACTTCTTCAAACATTCTTTTTGAAAAACAGGACATTTCTGACAAAGGCCTCTTTGCTCCAGAAAAGGTGATAGCTTCACCTGGGATTCAGGAAGGCCCGAAGTCGTCTCTGGATTGAATCAGACAGAACAGGGATTTGAAACAATGTTTCCCACATCCCCTGTTGTCATAACTGCAGAGCTGTTAACTGCTTGTTGCAGACACTTGGAATTTTACTGAGAAGCTGAAAGAATTGGATTGTTTTTGAGATTATACTATAGAAAAGTGGTTTAACTGATTTTTTTTTTTTTTTTAATTTTGACAGAATAGGCACTCATGGTGTAAATACCCCATTTCCTGACCTCTATTGTTTCCTGTACTATTGAATCACAAGGAGCATCTCTCACCTGGGATCTCCTTTGTGATGCAGTCCATGAGCCAGAAAAGGCCAGCAGTAGGAGTGCATCCTCACAGAATTCTGCTCCATTCAAATTGCTACTGGCAGCAGCAGTTGGCAGTGCCTTTCCCTGCACAGGAAATTCTTTCTATAAGCTGATGTAATTTTGTAATTTCTGTGGATCTAATGTTGTTTCTAATGCTAAAATTTAAGCACTCTTTTAGCTTTGAAGGAATTTGTATTTTAAATAGATATTTCAGAGAAGGGGGAAGCCCTTTGTTCAACAGTTCTGTCTGCACCTTTAGAGAGTAAAGGGAAAAGCCTTTCTAGCAATACCTGCCCCAGACGTTGAAGGGAAAGATACTGAGTTTCCTTATGCTTGCTTTTGTTTTTCCCCAGGTACACTTACTTACAGAGGTACATACAAGAACCACTGCCCTGCAGAGGAGATGAATGGCAGCCCTTGGTCTGGTACAGAAACTCTTTATTGGCAAATGAAGATGAGGAGAGCTCTGCCCTCGGCAGTTTGGGAGAGTGGCCCCCTGTGGGCACATCTAAGACAACTTCTTTTAAAAGGAAATTGTCTAATGGTATGAAAACTTCCCTGTTCTTGATCAGCTGTGTTTGCTTTGTCTGTCTGTCAAAATTGCTGTACTTGCTATTTTGCTTTGCTTTACCAAATTTGCATTTGCTAAAATGCACTTCATGCTTTGCATTAGCAGTACAGTACCACAGGGAGTTGGATATTGGGACTTTACAGTTCGAACTGGGGTTTTTGTCTCCAGCTTTGTTGATGTTAAAGGCCCCTTCATCACTCAATAGCAGTAAGGTTGGGCTGAAAACTCTGAGTGAGCAGAATTCAAGATTATCTGAATTCTGCTCTGTACTGAGATCTGGCATTTGTCTGTGCTACTGAGACTTCGTTGATGGCTTTTAATTGTTAAGGGCATTGTTGGTTTAGGCCTTGTAGGTAATTGAGGCAGGAGAGGCATTTCCAGAAGTTGATTGAGATCTTCAGCCCAGATGAACTTCAGCCAAATCATCTTCTAGGGTTTTTCTCTCTGTTGAATTTCTAGGGAGCCTGTAAGATTATATTCCTGCTTTTAAGAGTTATAGTTTGGTGGGCTGCATCCAAACTTTACCAGCATTCATGGACTTCCAATCTGTAATTAAATATTCACTGCATGGATATGACGGAACTTAGTTAAAATGTAATAAAGCCAATATGAAAGCAATTGCTAATAACAATGCTAAGTGCTATGGACATGTGCAGTCATATGTGGAGGAAAGGAAATTTTTCCAGTGTCCCTTAGTTTCTTTCTCATCCGTATAAATTTTCTTCTCAGTGGCTTGCCTTCAGAGAGCTTGTTCCCTTGTGTCCCCAGAGGTCCTCTTTTCTTGAGGGTTATATAGACTCAGCAGTACTGATAGCGGTTATGGACCAGGGCCAAGTTCATAAATCTAGATTGCAAAAATGACCAGTGGGCAAATTAAATGGATTTTCTTTTAAGTGGCTTTTAGCTGTCTCCTTCAATAAATGAATGCTTTGCTCCAGATCTCCTTTTGAGCTTGGCCCCATTGTTTCACTGCTGTGGGGAACACACTGGAAATGTCCATCTCAAGACCTCTGAGGGTGATGCTGAAGAGCAGTTCTGTTTGCTGTCTGTTCCAGGGTCTTTGCCTGAAACCAGCCAGACTGAAGTAGCAAGCAAAGCCCCAGAACAGCAGTGCACTTCCCAGCTTCCCTCTGCAGCAGGAAAAAACAGAAAGAGGCTGAAATCTCGAGAGATGTGCTTGCAGGAACGTTTGCCATTCCTTTGTCCAGGAGGGCTACGCAGAAGATACTGGTGAGAGTTTTATGTCTTACAAGCTCCTTCACTTGTCCTGGTATTGACAGTTGGGGTCTATCTATCCACCTCTGCTTCTGTTTTTTTATAATACTTATGGGCAAAGGATGTGTGCCCCTCCTGTCTTTCTTATGGGCACTGTCCTGAGGACGTGTTTCCTTAGTCCAATATCTACATTTGCTGCTTTAGCCTGCCACTGTCACATGGGCTTCCATGCCTTCTTGGACTAATATCGAGTGTACAGAGAAAAAGACAAGGAAGGAGGAAAGTCCCCTGTGCCTCTTCTCTTGTCCTGATTAGAGGGGCTGTGGTGTTGGTTACTCCCTGGCTGTTTGCTGCAGCCAGATGATAAGTGTGTTCTGCATCTCTGGAAATGAAAGAGGATTCTCGTCTCTGCAGATTTGCTATTAACTATTGCATAACTGGTGGCTTCCTTTTAGAGAAGTCTCTGTGTGCAGCAGGCACACATGCCTAAGTGAAACCCCATGGAACTTGGATATGAGAAGTGTTGCAGAAATAGGGAGTCTGGAGTCTACTTCTGAGCTCTGTAAAGCAATCAAAGAGCTCAGTTGCAATAGTTCCCTTTCATACAAGTAATTTATTGAGGTGTTAGGTGCCATTTCCTATATTGGTAGGTTAAAAGGGGAGATATAAATCTCAGAAAGATGCATACTTTTCCAGGTTTTCAGGGACACTTGTTAGATGGACCTGGTGAATACAAGTAAAATAGAACAAAAATTTATTTAACATGAAGGTAGCCCCTGTTTAAATCAAGTTTTTTTTTTCTGAAATGCTTTATTGGAAATTCCTTAGAGCATAACCTGTTTCATACCTGGGAAATTCTGGGCCAGTAACTTTAGGCTACCTTACATGGATATCAGCAGCAGAAGTATCTGCCTTAAATGCACTTGTGCAATGTACAGCCTCTGTTATGAGCTTTCTCAAGACTTAGCTTTTTTTTGGTTTATCTTTTTTGTTTTCAGCAAAGATGAGATTAAGACAGAAGATGTCTCAGAGGACGGTCAAGCAGGAGGCACAGCAGAAGATGTTGATGTTGATGTTGTTGGTGCAGATCAGGTAATTCTGGTTTTCCACTTGTAGTTGAGGTGGTGAATGTGAGGTCAGAGACTCCTGAGTAACCATCTAGCAGCAAAGGGGGCTGCTCTTATGTGGTCCCTTTCAGGATGAGAAAAGGGGGATTCCACTCTTCCCTTTCCAGCTGTAGCTGTAGTTTCCTCCTTCACCTTGATCTGCATTTTAAGGCAATTCTTGTAGCATCTAGACATCCTTAGGTACACTGAACGCCAGCTAGGATGCGTTAAGAGGAGAATCCCATTTCCTTTTTTGCCATACTGTGAAGCTTCCCAATTAAGAGACATTTGCTGCAGTTGCTTCGTGTTACCAACACATTGCAGAGATGGCACTGCTGCGTGGCCTGCAGGGAATATTTGCTTCAGAAATCGTGTTTGCATTGTGCTCTTTGGATTAAAAGACTCAGAATGTGTCTGATCACTGGTCAGCCCTGGGCTGTCGCTGGAGCGTCCCATGTTTCTTGCCCTTTTCCAGTCAAGGCTGTTGAGCAGATTAAATTGTCCCCAAAGCAGCTGGGGATTTGAAGGGAAGCATGAGAACATTGTGGGCTTGGAGTGGCAGCCAGTGTAGCCGGGGGGTTGTCTTGTAGGCACTGATTGCCTTTGGGATCAAAGTTTGGCAGAGCTGCAGCTGTCTGCCTGGATCTCAGCTCAGCCCTGGAATGGATACTTGCAGCAGAGAAAGACTTTCAGGCCTTTGAGGCAGTGGAGTGCAAGGACTCAAATAGGACATTGTACAGCAGGGTCTTGCAGAGTGACTGTACAGAAAGGGGTGCAGTGGCCATGAGTTTTCCTGTGCTGCAGCTACGCACAGCCTTTCTGTCCTCTAAAGGTTTACTGTGTCAGCCACTGCAGGAGCCTGGGTGGTTCCTTCAGGTTTTTCTCCTGTATTTTGCCCTACTCTCTGTACTTCAGAATGCTACTAACTCAGTGTTTGGCAGATAGTTTTTTTGCAGTGAGTAAGGCAACCCCTTGATTTCCAGTGGCTCTGGTTATCTGGGATCTAACAGCCACATTCAGACTTTGCATGATTTTTGACTTTTTAAATGAGTTTTTCCTGTAAAGTTGATCAAAGGGTTCCTTTTCATATGAGTGGTGGGCTTTTTTCTTTTGTTTTGTTTTTAAAGAGGACTAGAAGGAAAAAAGGGATTTCTACCTTTTCTTCAAGTCATATGTGTGTTGAAATGTAGATTGTTTGGACCACGTACTTGGAGCAGCTCCTACTGAAGATAGATAATAGAAGAATTTAAATCCATGGAGCAAGATTGAAGCCATACATAAAATGCACTACTTATCCAGTGTGTGGCCTTTCCCTGTAGTGCCTTTTCTGGCCTCCTTGGGGTATAGAAATGCTTATTTCCTTTTGTGGAGGCTAAATATAGTTCTTTCCAAGAGCTGGCTCTATGGCCAAGCTGGCGGATGGTTAGATGCTACAATGTTATTCAGATTCCTTATGTGCTCTTACATGATGTCTTCTTTATAGTACAAGACTGATTTATCTTTTCTTATGGTATAGGACAGTTAAGACACTGAGAGGATGAACAGAAGCGAAGAACACACTATGTTTTTTTCTGCAAATTGTTTAACTTGAAAATGTGGTTGTGAGGGCATCCACTGAGACAGCAGGAGACACGTATCAAGGTGAATCTCTGCCTGTGGGCATCCACCCAGAACCAGTTCGTAGCACTGCGGTTGATTTCTCCCTGTTGCTGGTTGTGGGCATTACTCATGTGGCTGCTGCACTTCCAAGGCTGTGGGTGTTAGGAGCATCGGTACTCAATTGCATCCTGGTCCTTGATGCTGCCTTGGAAAAATTACCAACTGAAGGACTGGAATCAGGGTATAGACAAATTTTGAATCAAAGACTCTATGAACTAGGTGAGACAAGTTTGTTCAAATCAGGGCAGGGGCAGAGTTCCTCTGGATGTGTTCTTTATCATTGAGGTAACCAAGGTGGATATCTACTTGTTTCCTCTTACCTGATGCTGGGGAGAAAGGAGCCTGGCCCAGTTATGAACACTGTGACCTGCTGGGTGACGGCAAGTGCCATTTCCTGCCTGTAAAATGGAAAACCTGGATCAAATAATCTGAAAGTATTTCTAAATTCCATTGCTTAGAGAGATGTGGTTAGTGGTCTGTGGGCATCAGGACATGTTCCCAGGAGACTTGCATCAAGGCTTCTAAGTAACAAAGAAAGAAACAGCAGACCAGCTGACTGAGTACTTTCCTCTGGAAGAAATCCCTTGTACACAGCGATCATGTGGTATTTACTTGGAAAATGTAAAGCCTGGAAAGACAATGTAAATAGACTGTAAATAATTACGAGTAGGGTTTTTTCATTAAGAGTTTGCAAATGATCTTCACTCAAGACTGTTCAGAGGCAGTAGGCGGGGGAGTGGTGGGTGCTTTCACTGACACTTTGGCGCTGCTCCATGGAATTGTATATTGCAGTAATGCTATCAGCTTTTTTATATATACATATATATATATTTTGGATTGTAACTGTAAAATAAACTACAGAACTACTGCTGTCCATTAGTACTGAATGTGCAAGTGATACTCCCACACTATGTCTGGAGGAAAGAAGAGCAGCAATGCCTGCTGGCCTTCCTGTTTGTTCTGTTATTCAACAGGCTGAGAAGGGAGTTCCTATAAACATGGAAGTGAAAGCCATGACTGTCTCCCAGGTATTGGGTACTCTGAATTGGCAACAGTAAAGCCATGTTTCCTTTTGTGTAGTTGGGGTTGCAGTGGGCTAATGCAAGGGGTGAGGTAGCACTCCTAAGATAATGCAGTTCTTAGTTGCCCTGTGACTTGGTCAGTAACTCCCCGTACCTGGACCATGGTAGTGATGTTTCCCTAATCCATCCAGATTTGTGGATTTAGGCCTAAGCATGCACCAGGTAGGCAGAATACAGCTTGACTAAGCAAACAGTTATCCCTGGGATCACATCAAGCATACAGCTGCTTTAATTTTTGTATGGGAATTACCCTACTGGGGAAAGGTACAGTAATCGTTATAGTTCATGTAAGAAAAGGCACTTCCACAGTACCAGCATAATTTGCTCTTCTTAGGAGAGAAGGGAGTTGGTTATCACAAGTATAATAGAGAGTAGGATTTAACAGGCACTTCATTAAACACAAAGTGTCAGCAACAGCTACAGGCTCTGCAGGAGAGATCGACCTTGCACCATAGCTCTGTGTAACAGAGAAATGTCACTGTGTGCTGAGAAAGCCTGTGGCTGTTCATTGCCCATTTACAAACCCCATTTTTAGGAAGGGTTTCAGGTAGGAAAAAGCAGCAGGCCACCACCTCTTGTACTGCAACAGATGTTCAGGATCACGTAGAAAAGGTGGTTGCTCATCCTTTCCCACAGCACCTTAAGGAACAGAGCTTAACATAAATGCTCTGTGTATCTTTACTGTTTAAAAGCTCCAAACCATGGGCAAAAGGTATCCAACTAACAGTGGAGAAATTTGACATTAGTGAGTCTCTATTAAAATCGGAATAATCAATCCCAATTATCTTTTTTTTTAAGAATCCTTTGAATGGTATTAAAATGACTTGAGTTTTCCTCAGTAAGGTTCCCCAACACTTTAGCAATAGGTTTCATTACTTAAGATACACAGGTGTGTAGGTCTGTACAGGAGATGGTGTGGTGAGTCGAGCAGAACAGATTTCTCTGCACCACTCCCAGCTGCTCAGCAATACTCTCTTTTGGATGAAGAAAAACCTGCTAGAGGCTGATTGCTCTGAATATGCAGCTTGTTGTCATTATCAACCCAGACTGCATACCTGTGTAACCCATCCTATTGTGAGTTGTTCTTTAGTAGTAAGACATTACTGTGTGCAGTATGTAACAATTAGAAGTGTTACATTACATGTAGGAAAATCTTTATTTGAAAATACAAACATGTTTTTTAAACATTTTAAAGATCTACACTGCAACCAAAAAATAACTTACATCTTTTTGTACATTTTTTTCCCCCAGCAAAATCTGTTTAACATTTAAGAGTGAGGCAACAATTTCATGCTGCTGTGACACTGATGAATTCACGGAATGTGTCAATAGCAAACAAGCGAGGGGGGGGGGACAGACAAAAGCATTGAATGCCCACAACAAATTAGTGCACATCACTTATCAAGTAACATTTATACAAAGGATTTTTTAAAAAAATTGGTTCCTTCTACATGAATTAACACACCCATTTTGGATCAAGTATGAACACTAAAACAGACTTCATTGTAATAAGCTTTTTATGATTAACATCAATGAAAAGACTGAAGTTTAAAAGGGCAAGCAAAATTAAATTTGGGGCAAACAAGGACTACACAGAAGAAAAGCAACTTGTCTTGGGCATTTGCTTTCCTTGTATACTACTAATATGGTCAGCCTGTCAAACAAAACTCTGCTTGTAAATGAGCACTGAATTGTGCACTCATTGTCATGTCTCTTCCTTGCCAAGGCATAAAACCACTAGGGCTGTCTATGAGTGTAAGCGCATTGCAGGCCAGGTATAAATTGTCTCCTTACCTCCCATACCAGGACAGAAATACCTGTTCACAGGCAGGACGGAGATGGTCAGTGCACCACACGTCAACTCTGAGAGAATTATACAGTTCTCTAAAAAACAGTAGATTACTTTTCTCTAAAGTCAAATATTGTTATTCTTCCAAAAAGGAATTATGCAACATCTGTAAATAAATATTTTAATCTATTTTAAAAACTATAAACTATTGAATAAATACAAAAATTTTCATCATACCATACAAATACGCTTCTTTTACTTAGAAGGTAGTGTAGTGATTAAATATTTTTAGCACAAAACTAAGCTGACTTCCAGGAAACAAACCCCACTGAAACGTATTGGTGTGTAGCAGACCTGCTGCAGACTGTCCTTCTTTTCTGCAAGTGTTGACCATAAGTAACCTCTACTCAAAATCCTCTTCATAGTCATATTCATCCAAGTCTACATCAGCCAGATGGGAAGGCATTTCAAAAAATGGTCTTTTCTCCATTTGATACTTTAGGACATTGGCCTTCTGGTGGTCTACAGGATTCAGTTCTGCTTCATACCTAGCGGCAGACACAAAAAAGAAATTGAAAGAGTCCATGCCAGGGAGCACCTAAAAGTTGGAACACTAACGAGGCATCTGCGAGAAGAATGTATTTTCCAATATTATATATTTACAGTAAAGAAACACGTAAGCAGAAGCAGCACTAGGGTTCTGTAATAATTACATCAATTTAAGCTGCATCATATGCAGAACTTCCCTGTGCCATACACAGCTTTACTGAGGGGATTCAAAGCACACACTGCTCTATGGACTATGCATAGGTTAGAAACAAGACTAAGTATTTGCCAGAAACCCCTCAAGTGTCAAGAAAGCTGAAATGAGGCTCAGTTATGAAGAACAAACTACAGCAGTTGATATGACAAAAGAGACAGAATACGGAGTTGAGAATCTTATTAAAATTTGTGTGAGTGCTGGGAAGCAATAGCAGCCATGTTTTTAAGCAGATGCTGGAAAGCAAAATACAACTGTTTAATCAGAAACTACTGATAACCACCTGCTGGTGATGCAAATGCAAAGATGGATAACTAACTCAAGTCAGTGAATGATATTTTAAAAAGATTAGCTTCACTAATCTTTTTAGTGAACACTTTTTATGTGGGATCAATCTGTAATTCATATCCTTTAAAAAAATAAGTCTGTGGAGATTTATAGTGTCAGATTAAAGAACTGACCATTTCCTGGGCTAGGGTGACTCAGGTTCATGCATGTCTTCCCAAGCACTACTGAATCTCATCTCGACACCTGATTATTTCCCTCTACTTAACACGACTATGCAGAGAATGACCTTTAGATACTGCGGTATGTGTTATTTAAACATAGTTTATAAAGGCATTATGTGCTGATTAGGAGAAGTGTTATTTCAGAGAAAGACATAGGGCAAAGAAGAGCTAAATACTAAGAATCTACTATGAACACTAAAATAGAGCAGCACCTTGGGTTCCTCCCATAAGTTCACCGCTGATTTAAACAGAAAACAAAAGCCATCCGAAGGTTTACTTCACCAAGTAACACATTTAAAAACTAGAGTTTGGAAAAAGAGATGCATATTCTACCATAACAACAGTTTTGGCTCACACACCTGTACTTGACAGTCTCCTACACCGTTAATGGCATATTTTTGAGAAGGGTTTGTTTTTTCTTTTAGAGAGGATTCATACCAACCCTTGTGCTACACTCTTACCCATCATTCCATTGGTCACTTGCTGCCTCTTCTGCTACCAGGATATCGTACTCTTCAGCAGCATACTTCTCCCAGTCAGAGACCTCTGGACTTTCACCTTCACCATCCTAAACAATCACATTGCAAGTTATACAAAAAAGTATTAACTGCTAAGCACATAGCTATAAAGACTTTTAAAGCTTCATACTCACCCGCAACATAGAAAACTGATCCTTCTGTTCATGGTCAAGGTATTTTTCAATGTTGAAAAAAGTATCAAAGAACACATTTGTCAACTTACATCGCTTTAAATCATGCAGGGTAATTTTTCCTGTAAAAAATATTATGACATAATTAAAGATAAAATAATTAGAGCTAAAATTACCTTTCTCCAAAGAGGAGGAATCTTATTCAGAAGCTAAGTCATCATTACTCAGTCATCATTGCTCGAGAACATTTGTTACTGATGCTCAATGCAATGGGAGAGAAGTGAATAGATGAAATACACATCTAGAGATGTGTCCTTCAAAGTGGACAGAACTTTTAAATGTTTCAGGTTTGTTCCTTGCTTTGGCTATCATCACACTGTCCTTTGGTATGTTGGAGTGAGATGCAGTCTACCTCACTTACCTATTAAAAGTCATTTAAGGTAACTGTTTAAGCTTCCTCAAGAGATAGAAGTCTCCAGTGAGCTAGCAATTCCTTCCCAAGGAGTGCCTGGGTAGCAGGTAGGAATCTCCTATGGCAGTGGCCCTTTTCCTTTCCTGACTTGAACAGACAAATGTATGACACAGTGTGTGACTGTGCTTCCTACAGATGAATTTTTCATAGAGACAAGGTTGCCACACTTGTCCAGCCTGATCAATATTTACTGCTTGAGAGGAAAGCTAAATGCTCAGAGGTGTTTTGTTTGATTTTTATAGAGTGATACTTTAAAGACTCAAATCAATGGATCTGTTAAACATTAGAAATGTTTGTCATGTTGCTCAGAAATGTTACCCTATTTCAAAGCTGAATATTAAGCTTCTGCAGAAAGGCTGAAAAATATGAAATATACAGGGGAAGACAGATGACTATCCTTAAAACTCCCCTTTATTGATTCACCTGGAATACAGACAATTTTCCATTGTCAATCAAATAGGAACTAACTGAAGATGTTATAGAAGAGTTCAATAAAAGCCAGACTTGGAACAATATTTTCTCAGCATACTGTCCCAGCTTCTAACAAAGTATAACTCAAGGACATCACAGGGAAGCAAAAGCCAAATCCCATTTGGAAATGGTTGCCACACTTGCATCTGTTGTGAAGTGCCTCAGTATATTCTGGCTTAGAGCTGGTGCTCCAGAACGACACAAATCCCCCATGGCACCTGTGCAGTATCTGTCAGACCCACACAGATGTCTCATGCATTGGGCCATCTCAAGTGGCAGCATCTCTCCACAACCAAGCAAATGATTTGAGTCCTAGTTATATAAGCTCCCAATTTAAGTTAGACTCCTATATTTGGTTCATTTATTTGCTCTCCAGTTTCTGTTTATTGCACTGGGAGCTCAGACACTCAACACTCATGTAGATGCCTTCCACTATCTCTCCAACATCAAGAAAAAGAGTGATATTGAAGGAATTAATTCAAGTCTCTGTAAGCATCCTGTAGCAAACTGTACCACATTTTAGCCTTAACTTTACGAAAGTATCATCTCTTGTTTCAAATCTACCAGGTGAAACATTATTTTTTGCTGATAGTTTTTTTTATTAGGAAAGCAGAAGAATTTTTTCTTAATCCACCTTTTAAACATCATATCAGTTTTTATATAAAAAAAAGTCACTGTTGGCTTTCATTTTTGTTGCCCTAAATAACTCGTCTTGGTTGTGTTCCATAGCCTTCTTTTGTCATCCTCATGACACAAAGGAGATACATCAATCTTGTTTCATTTGAAATGCAGAACACATTATTGGAAATGTCTGTCTTTCAGAAGCATAACGTACAAGACTGGAAGGGAACTACTACAGAGCTGGGGAGGTGGTTGTAAGCAACCATCTAACATAAATGTGCTTTTCAGAGCTTGCTTCACTTCATTTTAAATGCTCCCCAGCCCCCATGCACTATACAATGTTGGTCTAAGACTTCATTCCACTGATATCAAGGACTGAGCTTCCAGATGAATCACACTTCATATTTCTTTTTCATTTACAATTTTTTATCTGCCTTTAGAAATGTGTTTTCACATAGTAAATCCATTTTAACTTGGTTTAAATAAGAATATGAAGCTTTAAGTTCTAGTTTTGAGCCATTTCAATTCCCTTAGCATGCAAAAAATCATATCTCAATAAAAGACAAATGTTTCTTGCATAAAATGTAAACTGAAGTTTCATCAGCAAAAGCTCATACAATGTCAAATGCAGGAGAGTAGAATACAGGTCTATGAAGGTTCAAATGGACATAGAAAGTAGCCAAAAACTCAGAACAGTTTATTATTCACTTAATTTTAAGACCCTTGTCAAGAATTTCCTAAGGGCAGCTTAGGCTTCTCATGTAAAATAAGTTAATACTGATCTACAGGGACAAACACTGTTTAAAAACTGTTCCTTCTGAAGAAATCTCAATTAAATGAGTGCTGGAACAGGTGAGAGAATGGGTGAACAGTCAAGAGCTTTTCTTGAGAGCATCACCTCAGTTAGACAGTGACAAGATTTCA